GCTGCGCCGCCCACCTGGCTTCACTGGGTCGTTTCCTCCTGGTACCCAGTGGAGCCTCCGGCGGCCAGTCTACGGTCTCCGCCAGGCGCCCCGTGAGTGGCACGACACACTGAGGACTACACTTGCGGCTCTTGGGTTTGCTCCTTCTACAGCCGACCCGTAGCTGTTTCTGCGCACCGACACCTCTCTGCCGCCGTTCTACATCCTCGTGTACGTCGACGACTTGGTCTTTGCCACTGCTGACACTGCTGGACTCGCCCACGTGAAGTCCGAGCTGCAGAAGAGACACACGTGCACAGACCTGGGTGAACTGCGCAGCTACCTTGGCTTGCAGATCACCCGGGACAGAGCACAGCGCACCATTACCCTGACTCAGTCACACATGGTGCAGCAGGTCCTTCAGCGCTTCGACTTCACGTACTCCTCGCCTCAGGCCACTCCTCTGTCTACTCGCCACTCGCTCTCAGCTCTGCCTTCGGATGAGTCCGTAGAGCCGAGTGGCCCGTACCCAGAGCTTGTTGGCTGCCTCATGTACCTGATGACCTGCACACGACCTGACCTTGCATACCCTCTTAGCATCTTGGCACGCTATGTTGCTCCTGGGAGACACCGACCAGAGCACATGGCTGCAGCGAAGAGGGTGTTGCGCTACTTGTGCAGTACGTCGGGCATGGGGCTAGTGCTTGGAGGGCGACGTCGAGTGGTCCTCACAGGTCACGCAGACGCTTCTTGGGCTGACGACCAGGCTACGCAGCGGTCGTCACAGGGTTACACCTTCAGCCTTGGCTCCGGCTCTGTTTCGTGGCGGTCTACCCGCTCGTCCTCTGTTCTCGGCTCCAGCTGTGAGGCTGAGATCTACGCGGGGGCCATGGCTGCATAGGAGCTGCGTTGGCTCACCTACCTGCTGACTGACCTAGGAGAGCCGCCTCGTTCTCCTCCAGTTCTGTACGTAGACAACAAGGCCATGCTGGCCTTGTGTCGGGAGCACAGACTGGAGCACAGAACGAAGCACATTGCTCTTCGCTACTTCCTTGCTCGTGAGCTGCAGCAGCGTGGTCAGTTGCGCCTTGCTTACGTGGCCTCTGAGGCCAACACTGCTGATATCTTTACCAAGGCACTTCCGCCTGGTGATCATCAGCGCTTCTGTACGATGCTAGGTCTTGTGCCTACTTGGCCTCACTTGCTCACTTCTTGACCTTGCTTGTACTGTGATCTTTCTATACCTGCACTTGCCTGTTTACCTTTATATATGATCTTGCATGTGAACTGGCCTTTTGGCCTTGCTCTTGTGCTCGGATTGTGTGGTGACATTGTGATCCACCCTGAGCTTGCTTTGCTTTGCTTGACTGGTCTTGTGACCTCTTGTTCTCCCCCACTTTGCCTATGGGGGTGTGTCAAACTTATATGCTTTGCTTGACTGGTCTTGTAACCTCTTGTTCTCCCCCACTTTGCCTATGGGGGTGTGTCAAACTTATATGCTATAGTCTGTGTAGGCTGTAGTGGGGTAGACAATATGGGGTACAACACTTCTAGGTTTTCCTACTTGTACCCACCTCTTTCCTAGTTCATGCATTCCTCATTTTTCACACGTGGCTCCTGGTAGACACCGAAAGATGCACTGGGATGTTGCGAAGAGGGTATTGCGTTACTTGTGCAGCACATCGGGCATGGGGCTCGTGCTTGGAGGACCAGGTTCAGTTGTTCTCACCGGTCACTCAGACGCTTCTTAGGATGACGACCAGACGACTCACCGGTCGACTCAGGGGTACAGCTTCAGCCTCGGCGCTGGTTCTGTCTCGTGGAGGTCCACTCGCTCGTCTTCTGTACTTAGTTCCAGCTGTGAGGCCAAGATCTACGCTGGGGCTATGGTTGCACAGGAGCTCCACTGGCTGACCTACCTGCTGACCGACTTGGATGAGCGGCCTCGTTCTCCTCCAGTTCTGTGCGTCAATAACAACGTCATGATTTCCTTGTGTTAGGACCAGAGACTGGAGCACAGAACAAAGCACATTTATCTCCATTATTTCCTCACGCGAGAGTTGCAGCAACGTGGTCAGCTTCGTCTTGCTTACATGGCCACACAGGCCAACACTGCTGATGTCTTCACCATGGCCCTTAGGTCTAGTGATCATCAACGTTTCTGCACTGCTCTTGGGCTTGTGCCCACTCTGCCTCTCCTGCTTGTCTCTTGATCTTGCCTTGCACTTGCTCTACTCTGATATATATGATTATACCTGCATGTTTGCTCTTGCTAGGTTGTGATCAGTGTACTGCAATTGCTTATATAAACTCAGCATGTGAAATGACCTTGTGGCCGCTTGCTTGTGCTCAGAATGTGTGGTGATCTTGAGATCCACCCTGAGCTTTGCTTTTTTCTCTTGCTTGACTGGTCTTGTGACCGCTTGTTGTCCCCCACTTAGCCTATGGGGGTATGTCAAAGTATGCACTTCTAGTGTTGTAGTCTATATTGGGGTACACTGTAGAGGGGACAACCCTTTTAGGGTCTACTACTTGTATCCCCATCCTTCTCAATGCACACATTCTTGTTTCCTTATTCTGACAATAACCAAAGGATCGAAGTGGATAGGATAAGTCTGATGAGTTAAGAGAAGACAGTGAAGTCTTGATAGTGACCTTGTTAACAATAGTTGAAAGAAAAACAAGATGATTGTAAGATAGGAGTACAAAGGTATAAATAGCAAACTAGCTAGCCATGTACTCTGAGGGGTACATTCCCTTATTAACTGAATTGCATTGCTACAGTAATCACGACTATTGATCTTCTTGACAGTTACCATGTTGCATCGCGTAACTACCAAGTGCGGTTACTTGACGGTCAAGGGTCACGACTGTTGACTGACTTCGACTGTTGACCTTCGGGTGACTCTCGATCTTCCGCATGCTCTATACGAGCTCATGCGGTACTGGTACAGACGCGTTGCTTCGTTATGGAGTGGCGCGTTGGTGGAGAACCTTCGGGGATGTTATGATAACCTTTCGGTTATTCCAACACTCCCCTTCATTCGTGAAGGTGAGCCATGTGGGATTTCTTCGAGATCCCGCAGAGGTCGGTGCAGTGCTGAAAATTCTGACGTGGCAGCTTCTTGGTCAAGAAATCTGCTGCCATGTTACCAGTTGGGCAGTACGTGAGTTTGACCTTGACTTAGTCGATTTCGTCCTTGACGAAAAGGTAACAAAGTGCGATGTGTTTCGTGCGGTTCACGGAGCCGTGCAGAAGGAGATCGACCTATACAACGAGAAAAATGGTAAGAGGGAAACGTTAGTCTTCTACGCTGGTGCAAGTGAAGGGGAGTCACACGAGAAGAAGGGGCTCTCATGCAAGTACTGCAAGAAACCGGCTCACACCATGGACCGATGCTACAAGCGAAAGGCTGCTAACGAGAGACGCAGCGGCAACTCACCCGGCCAACAATCATTGGTGCCTCCTTCAACACCAGCCACCAAGGGAGAACGAGGGGATGTGTTGTCATGTGAGGGAGCCAGAGGGGACTACCGTATATGGCAGTGCAGTAGCTATGCGTGCGAGTGACGTGAAAGTTGAACACGCGATTAGACCACCAAAATTTGAGTGGTCGACTAGAGGTCGACCAATGTTCATTTGTATAATTTCGAATTAAAAATACGAACTTTACAATTCACTCATAAGGATGTGTAAAATTGTAACGACCAAACGAAATGGTCGATCATTTGCGTGTTTCCGAAATCGTTTGTAAAAACAGTAGGAAGGGCAAGAGCCCAAGAAATACACATAAGAGGCATGCACAAATGGTGCACCACCAACAGCTGGCTATACTGTAACTACACCAGCCATGTTGTAAGCAGTTTATATACGAAATAGAGTTTGACACATAGGTAATAACTTCCGACAACCTCGTTGTCAAAGATTGTATGTTGTGACGAAATATGATTGTGTTGGAATATATATATGTAACTGCCTGTAGCTGTAGTTTAGTGTAGCTATCATAAACTGTTGGTGGTGCACCATTCTTGTTTCTTGCCTATATCCTTGTACTGTTTCTCATTATTGAACCCCTTTTTGTTGGCCAACACTTTCTCGACCCTCTTGCTTGCCAAAACTCTCTCGACACTCATGCCTAGTCTCAACCCTAGCATGGCTCCTAGTCTCACACTATAGTCATTATTATGACAGATTGAGCAGGGTGTATTGGAATGAATTATCCATAGCAGTGGCTGTAACCGTCATTGCCGTAGCCGTAGCTGTAGCAACAACCGTAGCCATGTCATCGCCGTAGCCGTCATTGTTTAGGAGGAATAGCCTTGGACCAGGGCGTTCCTCTGCTAGATTTTTTTAGCAATATGTCCTTTCTACTTTGTCCTCTAGTGTGGAAAATATCAAGGTTTGTCTGCGGACAGGGAGGCTATTATTGGGATATAAATCAATAGCACAACAATATTTGAAACTTAAGTGGGATTGTGGGAATAAAAAATTAGTCAGTAATCTTATGACATATCTTATTCTAGCGAGGTTGTTTTTGTACATATCGTACAAGCTTCCTCCAAAAGCTGAAGCTGACGATTTCAGCATTTGATGGGCTTCCCACATTCCTCCATCCCAGCAGTCGTTGCTGCATCCGTACAGAACCCGAGACACCATCTCCACTTGATACCTGCTTCGTCAATGCCACTGCCATGGCGTCGATCTATCACATCCTACTGTATTGGCCATGTCACATCCAAACCGCCGCACGCGCGTCCGTGGCTTCATCTCCGTTGGGAATATTCGTCGCTCAGATTAAAGCGTGGCATGTGCTCTGTGTCGTCGCGCTCGCCGTGCAAGTGTACCTGTTTCGTAGTTACGAGGTCGGTTGCAAGTGTTCCGAGGCGTGCACGACGGGTCAATCGACCGTGCGACAAGGCTCGTACGTCTCCCTTGTTACATATCAGCCTCGTTTTAATGCGATCGGAAATTTTGTTCAAAAAGGGGTTTCTTCTTACGACGGACTGTTGAGCACATCCAGGCAGAACGGGCAGGATAATGTATTCTCAAACAACTGGCAGCAGCCGCAGCAGCAGGAAAATCAGGGGGAGCAGGAGCAGGAGCCGCAGCGACAACCGTTAGTGAATTTCGCGCCGCAACAACTCCCTCAGCAGCAGCGGCAGGAGCGAGGACCGGAGCAGCAGCAGCAGCAACAGCAGCAAGAGCAGGAGCAGCAGCAGCGGCAAAGCCAAGAGCAGCAGCAGCAGCAAGAGCGGCAAAGCCAAGAGCAGCAGAAGCAGGATGGCCTCTCGAGTCCTCAAGACGATCCACGTCCTCGGGATTTCACCGGGTAAGTCAGATTCCCGCCCACAGTACCGTGATCTTCCACTTGTGCTGGTGGGTCATTCTCATATGAGCCTCATCAGCTCCCCAACTCACCTCCCCTACATGTCGTCACCCTGACCTGCTAAAATGATGCCACCAGGTGCTCCTCCTGTGCCTTGGTCCCATCATCTCTCCTTCCCCCTCTCCCATCCTCCCCCTTTTTCCTCTGTCCAATCATCTCCCCTTCCATTTGTCCAGTCATCTCCCCTCCTCTGTCCAAACATCCCCATCCCTCGGTCTCATCATCTCCCCTGTCAGTTGCGCCTGGTCGTGCAACTGGAGTTGGCAGAATAATTCTGAGAGTCAAAAGAAAATCTCTTTCATTACAACACATGGGATGACTCCCAGCTGCACCTTGTAGTTCACGAGACGTGCATGCTGGAGAGGCTATGCGGGCAGAAGATTTGAAGCACACAGATATGCACATGTGTACACATTTCAATCGACACAAACGCTCTCGTCACAACAGCTTGGATGACTCTCAGCTGCACGTGGTGGCGCATGCGACTTGCAAGCTGGAGAAGCTAGGAAGCAGAAGGTTTGATTATGTATATACACTCCCGAAATATACACTCCTGTCAGAACAGGTTGGATGATTCTCAGCTGCACCTGGTGGTGCACGAGACGTGCAAGCTGGAGAAGCTGGGCGGCAGGAAAAAGGACGGCTACGGCGCATGGACGCTCTGCACCAATCACCTGCGGCCAGGTGGCATAGTGTACTCGTTTGGGATCGGCGGCGACGTGACGTTTGACAATGAGATGGTGAATAGAGGCTACAAGGAGCGCGATCAACCCTCCACTTTCCAATTCTGCCAGGTTGGGATTGGGGCTGTAGATGGCATCATCACCTTCTTCAGTCCCAAGAATCCCCGCCTGAAATCCATGACAGCTGTCAAGCATGAGGAGCTGTCAAAGCGGTACGAAAGCCAAGGCATGCCGGCCCCAGTTATGCGGTTACCAACATTCATGTGCACGAACGGCCATGGCTTCATTGATGTGTTGAAGATTGATGTGGAAGGGGTTGAGTTTGATATCTGTGATGAATGGTTAAGGATGGACACTCCACTCCCGGTTGGCCAGGTTTTGTTAGAGTTTCATGATCGGTTGTTGAAAGATGGCAAGTTACGGAGAAAGGCGTGTCTCGAGGTTATGGCAAGAGAGGGATTTACAGAGGTGTTTGTCAGTCGTAGTATGGAGGAAGCCACTTATGCAAGGATGGCCTCTAGAAGAAATTTGTCTTTATTGTCAGGTACTGTTATTCCTTAAAGAATGGAATCTGGTATATCAACCCTCCCATGACTTCGTCTGGTCTGGTTCTGGTGGCCATAGAGCTATGGCTCCCTTCACTTGAGGCATTAATTCAATTTGACCTTGAAAAATGCAGATGGGTAAAGACCTTTTTGCCCTTTCTGTTGGCCACTTTTTTCCAGTTACACTATAACAACTGGGTCTTTGCTGTTATGACAGACTGTCATGCTTGTGGAATCAGCTGATCTTATAGCGAACCCGAACTTGCTGAGGTGTAGTGCAGAGTCTGTCCGTCGCTGGCATGTTCGCTGCCGCGTGTGCTGCGGCACAGGCTTGTTTGGAGATGGCAACTTGGCAATGGCAACCCCCGGCGGCAAGCTCGAGGAGGGCATCAACAAAGCTCGACGTCATCAACAAACCATGTAGGTACGCAGGCATCCGTCCACATCCCTTCCCACCTCCTGTCACCGACCCTCACCTGCGTAGTTTACCCTTCCCTTCATTACTTCGCTTGCTGATAATATTCAGTACGGTTAAGCAAGTTTTCACAAGGTAATCAGCAGTCATCTCTTTACAACGCTCGAAAACGCTACGCACCAAGCACAACCGTGGCAGTTGAGTGCAGACTAGTTCATTCCCTTGCATCTCCTCTACTCCTTTTCCTTTCCTCAGGCCTGGCACAAAGGACCTCCCCCTGATGTGCAGTGCAGCCTGTACAAACACAGAAACTTCAGCCAAAGCCTTTTCTCACCTTTCCGCAAATTCATGGAGGAAGAGGCTACCTGTGTGGCTGAGCAAGCCAACCAAATTCATTCGAAAACGACGACCGACCGACCCCGGGCCTTCGCTGGTGTTCCTAACCCACGCTCCTAGCGCTCGACTTTCTTACCAAAACGCGATCCATTACCGTTCCGTCGCCGGAAGTAACATCTTTTACTTCTGCTCAAGTTCCAGACTATTCAGCCAGTCCGCTACCACATATTTGCTGCATCCACCCAGTTTTCTCCACTCGAGGATCATAACGACGAGCCTCGCTTGCACAATCCATTCTCCTCGCTTCATTCCCCCGCATTCTGCGGTTTAGCTCGCACAGGCGTTTAACAATCTTCACCCTTTTTCGCAAACAACGTAACCGTATGCTTTGCCCACCTGGTAACTCTACTGTTCGTTACCGCATTGCCACGACGACCGTGAGAACTGTCATACTGACTCAGTAAGCCGGCATTGCGCAATGAACCCTCTCCGGATGTCTCCGTTATAGTACAACGTTGTGTGAGTTTCTAAATCCCTCGGACTTCATCTAAGGACCGTCAGACCGCACAGCGCGTCTCAGGGTGGTTCAAAACTGTTCCGTTTCAGTTTCCGTTTCAACGCGTCAAGTCCGTCAAGCCCGTCGTGGTCATGGCGAGCAGGGTGAACCTGACGGCGGTGACAGTCATTGCTGCCGTCTCTGCCGTCCTCGCGGCCGGCGTAACAGCGCTGAACATTCCCTCAGGCGTCTTCGGGTGAGTTCTCCACTCCCTCCCTTCCTCTTCCCCTCCTCTTCCCCTCCCCTTCCCCTCCCCTTCCCCTCCCCTTCCCCTCCCCTTCTTCTCCCCTTCCCCTCCCCTTCCCCTCCCCTTCCCCTCCCCTTCCCCTCCCTTTCCCCTCCCCTTCTTCTCCCCTTCCCCTCCCCTTCCCCTTACCCTCCCCTTCCCCTCCCCTTCCCCTCCCCTTCCCCTCCCCTTCCCCTCCCCTCCCCCTCCCCGTCCCCTTCCCACGAAGCCTCGAAAAGCACATACTCAACATTCATGGGTCCATCCTAGGTGGCTGTAGAACCCCCACTCCCCCGGCCTCTCTTCCCCCCAAATCCCCTTCCCTATCGACCCAGACCACCCCACCTTCCAGCCTGCACCCCATGCCCTTCTTCTGCACGTGCCACGATGACTCAGCATTCATGAGGCCAGCGTGGCAGAAAAACCCTCACTCCCTCCGCCTCCCCTCTCCCCAGACCCCTTCCCCTCCGACCACCCCCCCCAGCCTGCACCTGCACCCCAAGCCCCACGTGCTGCCCTTCTTCTGCACGTGCTCCCCTTCTTCTGCACGAGCCACGATGACTCAGCGCTGGTGACTCAACTCAGCATTACTAGACAACACCATGACTCAAGACCCTCCCCGCCTCCCCTTCTCTCTTCTTCCCTGTCTCTCAACTGACACCCCAAAGCCCCACGTGGTGCCCTTCTTCTGCACGTGCAATGATGACTCAGCGCTGGTGGCTCAGCACTGTAGACAAAACCATGACTCAAGACCCCCCGCGTTTTGCGCCAACTCAAAACACGAAGCATTGATAGACAGCACCATGACTCAAGACCCCCCTCGGGCCTCCCCTTTTCTCTTCTTCCCTGTCTCTCAACCAACACCCCAAGCCCCACGCCCCTCCCTCCCTCCCTCCCGCCCTCCCTCCCGCCCTCCCTTCCTTTCTTCTTCACGGGCGATGATGACTCAGTGCTCATGGAGGACGGACAGCCTGACTCAAGACCCCCCACCTATCCCACTCCCATACTCTCTTCCTCCCTTTCCCTCTCTCTCTTCTTCCCCTGCCCTCCCCATGCACCCCCCCTCCCCCTCAGCCTGCACCCCAAGCCCCACGTGCTGCCCTTCTTCTGCACGTGCGACGATGACTCAGCGCTGATGGAGGACAGCCTGGCGCGCTGCCAGGTGGCGAGCGACTTCCTAATCGCGCTGGCATACCTGTCCATCCCACTCGAGCTCGCATACTTCACATTGAGGGCCAGGACCTTCTCACACCGCTGGGTCATGCTGCTCTTCAGCCTCTTCATTGTTCTCTGTGGTACGTGCATGCTGCTACTGCCTTGGTTGGGACTGGTCACGCCTAGGCCAGGGCTGATCGCAAGAGTACCTATCCACCCCCCTCCTCAAGCTCGCATACTTCACGCTGAGAGCCAGGACCTTCTCCCACCGCTGGGTCATGCTGCTCTTCAGCCTCTTCATCGTGCTCTGTGGTGAGTGAGTGCATGCTGCTGCCTTGGTTGGGGCTGGTCAGTGCCAGTGGTCACCTCTGGGCCTGTCCTAATCGCGCTGGCGTACCTGTCCATCCCACTCGAGCTCGCATACTTCACGCTGAGAGCCAGGACCTTCTCCCACCGCTGGGTCATGCTGCTCTTCAGCCTCTTCATCGTGCTCTGTGGTGAGTGAGTGCATGCTGCTGCCTTGGTCTGGGCTGGTCAGTGCCAGTGGTCACCTCTGGGCCTGTCCTAATCGCGCTGGCGTACCTGTCCATCCCACTCGAGCTCGCATACTTCACGCTGAGAGCCAGGACCTTCTCCCACCGCTGGGTCATGCTGCTCTTCAGCCCCTTCATCGTGCTCTGTGGTGAGTGAGTGCATGCTGCTGCCTTGGTTGGGGCTGGTCAGTGCCAGTGGTCACCTCTGGGCCTGTCCTAATCGCGCTGGCGTACCTGTCCATCCCACTCGAGCTCGCATACTTCACGCTGAGAGCCAGGACCTTCTCACACCGCTGGGTCATGCTGCTCTTCAGCCTCTTCATCGTGCTCTGTGGTGAGTGGGTGCGTGCTGATGAACTGTGGACGTATGGGGCACGCCCGCGACAGCTGAGCGTGGTGCAGACTTTTCTTTCCTACTCCCCTGCCCCCTCCCTCTCGCACCCACCCTTCCAAACCCTCCTTTTTAACCTTTCCTTTCCCCTGCCCCCACCAGGTCTGACTCATTTGGTGAATGTGTGGACGTATGGTGCACACCCGCGGCAGCTGAGTGTGGTGCAGACGGTGCTCAAGGTGCTCTGTGCTGCTGTCTCGTGGGGCACAGCCTTTGTGCTCTTCACCATCATCCCCTCGCTGCTCAAGTTCAAGGCAAGTCGCTGTCTCCATGAAAGTGTGTGTTTGAGTCCACTCCAGTCTCCAAGCACCCCTGGCAGCTGAGTGTGGTGCAGACGGTGCTCAAGGTGCTCTGTGCGGCCGTGTCATGGGGCACAGCCTTTGTTCTCTTCACCATCATCCCCTCGCTCCTCAAGTTCAAGGCAAGTACCTTTTCAGTCCACTCACAAGGTGAGGGCCTTGTTCAAAGGAGTGTGTATTGGGTCGACTCACAGCACCCGCGGCAGCTGAGTGTGGTGCAGACGGTGCTCAAGGTGCTCTGTGCGGCCGTGTCATGGGGCACAGCCTTGGTGCTCTTCACCATCATCCCCTCGCTGCTCAAGTTCAAGGTGAGTGCCATTGTCCTTCAAAGTGTATTCTGGTTTGACTCTAAGCATCCCCAGGCATTCAAGCGAGGTGCAAACAGTGCTCAGTTTGCTCTCAGCTCTCTATCCTGGTGTCTCGTGAGTGGGCTCAGACCGTGCCTATTGCTACCTCATTGCTTGCCTGCATAAGTATGTTCGCACCCTGCTTGCAATCCAGCCCCCCGTCCATATCTTGCCCCTCTGCCTCCCGTGCTCACCTGACAGGTTCGGGAGCTTTCTCTGCAGCACAAGGCTGCTCAGTTGGATCAGGAGATGGATGCAGGGGCTTAAAAAAAAAAAAACGCTGAACGTAATCAGAAGATATCCGTATACAGGCATATTTAGAGTCCTCAGAAACAAAGCCCACTTGCTTGCCAATCTGGCTGTCCACCGCCATCCATCTCTGCCTCTCCCGCGCACATATGGCAGGTGCGAGAGCTTTCGCTGCAGCACAAGGCTGCACAGTTGGATAGGGAGATGGATGCAATTCGGAGAAGGGAGGAGGTGAGGCTTTTTGGGGGGTTGGCTGGAAGAAAAACGAACAGCCGGAATTGGAATTTGATTTGTAAATAACAGCTGGTCTTGTTCTCGATTAGTATGGAGGAGTAGCTGGATTAGGAACTGGTTTGTGCTGCACGCAGAAGAGAGGGGTTAAGGCACAGTGGAGGGTTAGCTTGTGGAGGGTTAGCTTGTGGAGTTTTCTTTTACTCTCATCCCTCTGTCACTCCTCTCTTCATTCTTACCCTTCCTTCCCGTCTTCCCTTCCCCCTTTCTCCTCCTTTCCCTCCATCCGCTTCTCCCTCTCCCCCCCAGGTGGGGCGGCATGTGCGCATGCTGACATACGAGATCCGCCAGTCCTTAGACCGTCACACCATCCTCAACACCACACCACCATGGTGGAGCTCGCCCAGGCTCTGAGACGTCTTACTTAAACCCCTTCTCCCCCCCTTCTTCTCCCCCCTGCCTCTCCTTCCCCCAGGTGGGGCGGCATGTGCGCATGCTGACATACGAGATCCGCCAGTCCCTGGACCGCCACACCATCCTCAACACCACGCTAGTGGAGCTCGCCCAGGCTCTCATGCTGGAGAACTGCACTGTGTGGATGCCAGACCCTTGTGAGTGCTCCAATTGATGTGAGTGCGCCCGCCCCTGTGAGTATTGGCGTGGTAGCAGCCTCATAGCTCGCCCAGGCGCTCATGCTCGAGAACTGCACTGTGTGGATGCTGGATGCCTGTGAGTACTTGAATAAGATAGCAGCACTTAGCAGCACTTAGCAGCACTTAGCAGCACTGTCGGCGTCATGTCGTATACTTTTGAGGCGCCTCAGAAGTTGATGCGTGGGGAGGTGTCATGCCATCACCATCCTCAACACCACCCTGTGGAGCTCGCCCAGGCCCTCGTGCTTGAAAACTGCACTGTGTGGATGCCTGATCCATGTAAGTATGCGTGTACATGGGTCTGCTTCATGAGGGTATGTTGGTTGGTTGGTGTGTGAGGAGACACACCTTCTCAACACCACCCTCGTGGAGCTCGCACAGGCACTCATGTTAGAGAAATGCACTGTCTGGATGCCTGACCCCTGTTAGTGTGCATTATCCCCGTGACTCTGTGCGGGTATAGAGCACACACAGGGAGCACTTAGCACTGCCATGTGTGGATTAACACGCGACCACCCCACCCTAACCATCCCTCAGTCGCCCCCCATCCCTCCACCTCCCCTCCTCCTGTGTGTTTTTCCCTAACGTGCTACCTGCAGCGGGAGAGTATTTGGAGCTGACACACGAACTGGAGAGAAGGCTGGTGCAGGTGATGTGACTGTAGGTGGTGTGGCTGCAGGAGGTGATGTGACTGTAGTTTGTGTGGCTGCAGGAGGTGATGTGACTGCAGGTACGTGGGGTGTCACATGCTGCTTGCAGCGGGAGAGTATTTGGAGCTGACACACGAACTGGAGAGAAGGCTGGTGCAGGTGATGTGACTGTAGGAGAGGTTTGTGTGACTATAGGTGGTGTGATGTACGCGTACCATCCCATATTCTCTCACGAATGTCTCTCCCACAGCTAGCCCCCTATCCCTCCCTTCCCCCCCTTGCCCCTCCCCTTCCCTTTCCCTCACCTCCCTCCTGGTCCTATTTATGAACTCACATGGCACCCTTTCTGTGCACACAGTTTTTGAGATTTCTGAAAACCCCTTCGATTCTCCCAAACCACACCACCCGCCCATTCCCGTACTTTCAGGTGCCCATTTGCGTGCACATATTGGACCCGAGCGTCCAATCAGTGATCGCCACGTCAAACCCGTGCCTCATCTCCCGATCCTCCTTCATTGGCTCGGCGTCCACGCCCCGAGGGGCCCATGCGAACGCCATGGCAGGTGGGTGACCGCTGGGGCATGGCATCAATGGAGTCATGTTCGTGTCGGGTTTCCACATCTCCAGATTGGTGATACTTGTGTCAAATAATGCTGCTTGCCTCCACGAGGATCACCAATTTCCCCTCTCCCCGCCCCGCCTCCTCCCCTCGAGGAGAGTTTGACTCAAGTAGCGCAATGTTTCCACGTGTGGTGGTGAGTTGTTGGCATCAAAGCTTTTTGAGGCGCCTCCAAACTCTCCTCAAGGGGAGGGTTGACTCAAGTTGTGCCATGTTTGTTAGGGTGGTGGTGAGTTGTTGGCATCAAAGCCAACCCTTCCCTTCCCTCCCTTCCCCCCCCTTCGTTCCCCCCAGCTGTTCGTCTTGCAATCCACATGCCCACACACTCCCGTGCTTCACGATCCAGCCAGCAAGGGGATGACGGTGCTGCTGCTGCTGCTGCGGCTGCAGCTGGTGCCGCTGGTGCTGTCGGTGGTGCTGGTGGTGGTGGTGGCAATAATGGTGCGGATAGTGACGGATTTGCTGGTAGCGAAGCTGCTGATATGGAGTACGGATCGGTTGTGGAGTATGGGCTCATGGTGCTCGTGCTGCATGGCGATGAGAAGAGGTGAGGGAGGGAAGGGATGGGAAAAAGGTCGATATAACAATGGCTGTGTTGAAGCCTCAGTTGTAGACTAGCGGAATTGCGGCCGGATGGTTTTCTAAGTGTCATATGAGTTCCCAAACAACCCGACTCAGATGTGGTTGGGTTGAAGAACATCGTATCGGGCTTGGCCATAACAGACTATGATAACGGGCCGGGCCAAAATTGGGTCAAAACCCGACCCGAACCGACCCGATGCTCAGAGTCGGGTATCGGGCCGGTCCGACTCGCCTGGGTGTACCCAGTGTTAGTGTTAGCCCTCAATCTCACACTTTGTATTTGTACTTTCTATATCCTAGCGTAGTGTAGTTTGCACTTGGTGTTTGGTTGGGTGTACACCTACATCCCAACCAAACTCAAGTGTGATCTCCAAGCAATCTCTAACCCACCAATTGGAGATTGTCTTGGGATTACCCTCAATGGAAGAGGCTGAGACCTGGCTGGCATGGGAGGGAGCCAAGGCAGCAGAATACTCGAAGGAGGTGTTACCGGCAGCAGTGGAGGACCTGCGTACAGGGCAGTTGAGAGATGCATACAGGAATGAGCAGTGGCTGAAGCAGACTGGAAAAACCGCTAAAGGCAGCAGTGGGAGTGGGACAGGAAGCCCACCGACGGAGGAGGAAGAAGGATACTCTGGAAGTGGCGCCGGACGCGCAGAGATGGAAAGCTCTGAGGGGTACCGGAGTGTTGGTGCTGGGGAATCAGAGGAGAAAGCGGACAGGGGACCACCAGACGAATGCTGCAGTGGTGAGAAGTAATTGGTCTCAGCATGTCCAGTGACACGTGCACGGGAGACCTGAGCACGAGCTCTGGAGGGGGCAGGTGGTGGCTGAGGAACAGCAGGTAAGGTATCACAGGAACAGAGCACGGGAGAAGAAAGGAGGGAGGGTAAGTGCAGGACGAAGAGGCAAGCCAGAGATGCCACGGGAGAGGAGTTTCCGACAGCGGCCTGGCCCATGCACGCGGCCTGGTCCATGTGTGCGGCCTGGCCCATGTGCGCGGCCTGGTCCATGCGAGCGACTTGGTCCAAGCTTGCATGCGAAGTGAGCTACCTCAAGCTACCCCCTGGATTCAAGCTACCCCTTGGAGAGGGGGAAATGAGGAAATGGGGAAATGGGGAAATGGGGAGAGGGGGAAATGGGGAAATGGGGAAAGGGGAAGGGAGTAAAGGGGAGGGAAGGGAAGGAGAGGAGGAGAGGGGAGTGCATAGGAAAGGTAGTGGCGGACCTAGTGGCCATCGCCCTCCTCTCACTCCCGTTTCCCCCCTCTCCCCCGTCTCCCCCCTCTCCCCTTTTCTTCTCCATTTCAACCCCTCCCCCTTCCCAGGCAGTGGCAGCCCCGCGAGGTGGAGATGGTGGAGGCAGTGGCGGACCTAGTGGCCATCGTCTTACTCTCACTCCTGTGTCCCTCCCCCACCTGCCCCCCTCTCTCCCATGCCATGTGCAATCGCCATGTCCCTTCCTTATCCAGGCAGTGGCAGCCGCATGAGGTGGAGATGGTGGAGGCAGCGGCAGACCAAGTGGCCATCGCCTTCCTCTCACTCCTGTGCCTCTTCCCACCTCTTCCGTGCCCATTTCACATGATTGTCCCAAACTCTCCTTTCAGGCAGTGGCAGCCTCATGAAGTGGAGATGGTGGAAGCAGTGGCAGACCAAGTGGCCATCGCGCTCTCACATGCAGCAGCCCTGGAGGAGTCGCAGGTAGGAAGCTCCTCCCTTCCCCTCCTTTTTCCCCCCTTGCCCCTCCATTTCTCCTCTCCGTACTTGAGTTGAGAACAATGTATAAAGCAGTGGCAGACCAAGTGGCCATCACGCTCTCACATGCTGCAGAGCTGGAGGGGTCACAGGTAAGCAGGAACCCGCCTCTTCTCTTTCTCCCCCCTTCGCCTCTCACCTTGCGTTGAGAACAATGTGTAGTGCGGTTTAAGACCAAGTGGCCATCGCACTCTCACATGCTCCAGCGCTGGAGGAGTTACAGGCAAGCCAAATTCCCTTCTTGCACCCTCTCACATGCTTCAGTACTGGAGTGGTCGCGGGTAGCCCTTGAGTTGCCCCTATAGTCACCTCGTTTCTCAAATGGCACTGTTTGAGTCGACTCAAATGGCTTCCCCTTTCTCAAATGGCTTCCGCTTTCTTTTTCCCCCTTCCATTCTCTCCCAACCCCACACAGAGGCGCAGGGAGGAGATGGCGGAGCAGAATGCGGCGCTGCAGGTGGCGCGGATTAGAGCAGAGGAGGCGATTCAAGCAAGGAACGACTTCCGGTCCGTCATGAACCACGAGATGCGGAGCCCTCTGCACACCATCCTCGCGCTTTCCTCGCTCATGGAGGTATGTGTGTGTGTCACCCACCCAGCATGTCCCACGCAGCACAAAGCCCGAGACCTTGGAGTGTGAGCGTGTGTAGAACCGGTAGGGACCTGTATGTATACCAGCCTCTCAGAACGACTTCCTGTCGGTCATGAAGCACGAGATGCGGAGCCCTCTGCACACCATCCTCGCGCTCTCCTCGTTCAGGGAGGTGCGTGCGTGTGTCACATGCCACGGTCTGTGCATGTATGCAAGACATGGATCCGATTCAACCAGCATGCACCCTACACCCACCACCACGATGCTCTGATTCCGCCTCTCCTCCTGTCTGTCATGAACCACAAGGAGTCCCCTGCACATTATCCTCGCCCAATCCATTCATCTGAAATCCCGAAATCCCACTCACCCACTGTACGTTTTTTAAGCGCGGAACGTCCTGCTGATGTTGTGGCTGCCGTCTTCCCGTCCGTGTGTCATGGTAACGAGGTGAATTTTGAGTCGACTCAATGGCAAGTCACCTCGTTACCATGGCACAATCCCACTCACCCACTGTAAGTTGACTAAGTGTGGAATGTGCCGCTCATGTTGTGACCGCTGTCTTCCCGTCCGTCCGTGAAGAACCATGAGGGTCTCCCTTCCAGCATAGCACACCACTCTTCATGTCTTTATCCCTCTGTCTTTTCATATTCATCTCCTTCTCACCCATCAACCCCCTTTTGTTTCTGTGCGTTGCATGTTGGCATGTATGGTGCATGGCCTGGTGTGGCTTGGTGCATGGCCTGGTGTGGCTTGGTGTAGTATGGTATGGCATGGTATGACATGGCATGGCATGGCATGGCATGGCAATGAGGGCGCTTGACATGTTGCACGGGATGGCATGTTTGAGATTGGATGACATGGCATGGCATGGCATGTCTGCTATTTCTTGGCATGGTATGGCATGGACACGGCATGGCATGGCATGGCAACAGGAGGATGATCTAACAGATGAGCAAGGGCCCATGGTGGCCACTCTCTCTCGCAGCGCCTCCATGCTCACATCCCTCATCTCCAACGTCATTGGGGTGGCCCAGCGCCAAGAGATCAAGTAAGTCTCTGAACCGCACTGAACCACGTGGTACTGCACTGTACCGCATTGAGCCGTATGGTATTGCATTGAATCACATGCCGAGAGGACCCATGGTGGCCTCTCTCTCGCAGCGCTTCCATTCTCCCTTACCCCACCTTCCCCTGCCCACCTCCCTCCAGTCTTGTGTTGGAGCACCGTCCATTTGACCTGCGAAGAATGCTGCACGACGCAGCGTCGCTGGCATGGCCCATGATGCGAGCCAAGGGGCTGAGCTTCTCCGTGGTGATTGCCAGGGAGGTGCCTCGGCACGTGGTGGGGGACGAGCGGCGACTGCTGCGCGTGGTGCTGCACATTATAGGGCATGCCATCGACTCCACTGATGAGGTAAGTCGGAGGGGTGCTGCACATTATAGGGCATGCCATCGACTCCACTGATGAGGTAAGTCGGAGGGGTGCTGCACATTATAGGGCATGCCATCGACTCCACTGACGAGGTTAGTAGGAGGGGTGCTGCACATTATAGGGCATGCCATCGACTCCACTGACGAGGTTAGTAGGAGGGGTGCTGCACATTATAGGGCATGCCATCGACTCCACTGATGAGGTTAGTAGGAGGGGTGCTGCACATTATAGGGCATGCCATCGACTCCACTGACGAGGTTAGTAGGAGGGGTGCTGCACATTATAGGGCATGCCATCGACTCCACTGACAAGGTTAGTAGGAGGGGTGCTGCACATCATAGGCCATGCCATCGACTCCACTGACAAGGTTAGTAGGAGGGGTGCTGCACATTATAGGGCATGCCATCGACTCCACTGACAAGGTTAGTAGGAGGGGTGCTGCACATTATAGGCCATGCCATCGACTCCACTGACAAGGTTAGTAGGAGGGGTGCTGCACATCATAGGCCATGCCATCGACTCCACTGACAAGGTTAGTAGGAGGGGTGCTGCACATTATAGGGCATGCCATCGACTCCACTGACAAGGTTAGTAGGAGGGGTGCTGCACATTATAGGGCATGCCATCGACTCCACTGACAAGGTTAGTAGGAGGGGTGCTGCACATTATAGGGCATGCCATCGACTCCACTGACAAGGTTAGTAGGAGGGGTGCTGCACATTATAGGGCATGCCATCGACTCCACTGACAAGGTTAGTAGGAGGGGTGCTGCACATTATAGGCCATGCCATCGACTCCACTGACAAGGTTAGTAGGAGGGGTGCTGCACATTATAGGCCATGCCATCGACTCCACTGACAAGGTTAGTAGGAGGGGTGCTGCACATTATAGGGCATGCCATCGACTCCACTGACAAGGTTAGTAGGAGGGGTGCTGCACATTATAGGGCATGCCATCGACTCCACTGACAAGGTTAGTAGGAGGGGTGCTGCACATCATAGGCCATGCCATCGACTCCACTGACAAGGTTAGTAGGAGGGGTGCTGCACATTATAGGGCATGCCATCGACTCCACTGGCAAGGTTAGTAGGAGGGGTGCTGCACATTATAGGGCATGCCATCGACTCCACTGACAAGGTTAGTAGGAGGGGTGCTGCACATTATAGGGCATGCCATCGACTCCACTGACAAGGTTAGTAGGAGGGGTGCTGCACATCATAGGCCATGCCATCGACTCCACTGACAAGGTTAGTAGGAGGGGTGCTGCACATTATAGGGCATGCCATCGACTCCACTGACAAGGTTAGTAGGAGGGGTGCTGCACATTATAGGGCATGCCATCGACTCCACTGACAAGGTTAGTAGGAGGGGTGCTGCACATTATAGGCCATGCCATCGACTGCACATCATAGGCCATGCCATCGACTGCACATCATAGGCCATGCCATCAACTGCACATCATAGGCCATGCCATCGGCTGCACCCACACTCCCCCCTCGCTCCTGCAGGGCACCATATCTGTCGCTGTGGGCCTGTCAGACGGCAGTCACGGCATAGCTGGGCAGGCATAAGGAGCCTCAACGCACATCCCCACATGGATCGAAGGAGCCATCCTGCTCGCTCTCTCCCTCCCCTCTTTCCCCTCCAGGGCACCATTTCTGTGGCTGTGGGCCTGTCAGACGGCAGTCGCGGGCCGGCATAGCTGCTCCGAAGGCTCCTCCCAAGGCTCCTCCCAAGGCTCCTCACCACCAAGCCTACTCGTTCCCCCCCTCCCCTCTTTCCCCTGCAGGGCACCATCTCTGTAGCCATGGGGCTGTCAGACGGCAGTCACGGGCTGGCATAGCTGATGTGAGAGGTCGCCTCAGCATGCATGTGACTGGTAAAGCCAAGACGCATTCACCCAGCCTACTCGCTCCCCCCCTCCCCATTTTTCCCCTCCAGGGCACCATTTCTGTGGCTGTGGGGCTGTCAGACGGCAGTCACGGGCCGACATAGCTGATGTGAGAGGTAAAGCATGTAAAGCATGCATGTAACTGGTAAAGCCAAGACGCATTCACCCAACCTACTCGCTCCCTCCTCCCCTGTTTCTCCTGCAGGGCACCATTTCTGTGTCCGTGGGCCTGTCAGACGGCAGTCACGGGCCGGCACGGAAGCCCCACATTGAGCATCCATCCCACGCCTTCCACTCCGCTGTATGTTCGTTCGTTCATACTTCCTCTAAAGCTAGACCGTCCAAGCTGTTTCATAACTATATTACCTCGCCCTCCTCTCTACTGCACGTTCCTGTGTTCCCTCGTAGTCCTCCTGTGTGCCCTCCTCTCTACAAGCTGTCTGTATTACAAGCTCATTCAGTCAGGGATTCCAACCTCTCAGAACACGTGTTCGAGGTACATGCTCATATATTATTTCTGGGAAACCTCTACACAATGCTAGATTCTCTCTGTCCAGCTTAAGACAAACTGCAAGCGAAGGAACATACGGCGGCGAGGAGGGCGTGGGAAGGATGCTTGATTCTACATGTCAAAAGTGCTACTAGCAAGGTGGCCTCACATCGAGCATCCTTCCCCGCCCTGCATTTCGCCTCATAGTCTGTTCTGTTCAATTCATGTGCCTTTGTTCACTCGTGCCGTTCGGTCAACTTTGGAGACGGGCGTCTCAAACACAATCATCAGCAAGAATCAGCTTCGACTCTTTTACCTTTCGTTCCATCCCGCGCTTCCACTATCCCCAGATTTCACGACAGGACCAAGTGAGGGTGCGAGTCACAGTCACAGGCACAGGAGGTGCGGACGTTGGATCTTCTCACCCCCAATTTTGAAGTTTCGTACTTTTTTCCTCCCCACTTACCCAGTTCTCTGGTCAGGACCACGTGAGGGTGCGAATCACCGTCACAGACGCAGGAGGGGAGGAGTCCAAGGAAGCATCAATAAGCTCTCACTTTCCTCCCCTCATGCTCCCCTGCTCCCTCTCCTTCCTTTGAGGCGCCTCAAAAGGGGAGGAGTCCAAGGAAGCACCAATAAGCTCTCACTTTTCTCCCCTCATGCTCCCCTGCTCCCTCTGCTTCCACTGCACCCTCCTCCTTCCCCACCCTATGCTCCCAGATCTCCCGTCAGGACCACGTGAGGGTGCGAATCACAGTCACCGACTCAGGAGGAGAGGAGTCCAAGCAAGCTCTACTAGACCGCTTCGAGAAAGCAAGGGAGCGGGAGCAGCTGATAAAGGGGCAGGCTATAGAGGGGATGAAGGCCCTGGGGCAGGATCCTTCAAACGTGGGTATAGGACTGTTTCTGTCCGGGCCGGAGGAGGCTTGGGTGGGGTGCACACGGGTACAAGGGGTGGTGGGGCCACAGGGAGGGATGGGGTCGGAGCTGGCTCGGAGGGTGGGAGACAGTGGTTTGCAGGCACATGACCATGACCATGACCATACACATACCCATGCACATGATGACCCGGTGACACATCCACATGCACATTCACATGCACATTCACATGCACATTCACATGCACATGCATCGTCACATGTGTATGGTGATATACATGACTCAGCAGACCAAAGGGCAAGCCGTACCTCCAGCAATGAGAGCTCTTACAGCCGAGCCTCACACGCCCAGCCTCCCGCACAGATGCCCCATCCTCTAGCACCCCACCCTCTTGCGTCCCCCCCTCTGGCTTCCCACCCGCTCACTCGTCCTCTGCCCAACACAACAAGCCACCTCACAGACCCCACCTACAGGAGCACTGTATCAGCAGCACAGTCCCACCTCCCCCAGTCTGACTCGGGCGATGTTTCAGCCGCAGCAGCTGTGGAAAGTGCTGCTGCATTAGCAGCTATTGAAGCGCCTCGAAGATCGCCAGCAGAGGATTTGAGGGAGGCAGAGGCAGCAGAGGCAGAGAGGGAGCGGCAGGCGAGGATAAGCGAGCAGTTCGTGGCTCCCTCCTGCGCCATCTGTCAGAAGCTCCTCCTTCTCATGGATGGCCATTACTGGAATGCCACTCAGGCTGCTGATCCCGGCGCTGCTACTGCGTTCTCCGTGCGGTTACTGTGTGACCGCACGAGGAGGAGGCACAGGAGGCGGCGGCATATGATGTGCAGTTTGGAGGGGTCCGGGGATGAGGGGTCGGGGAGTGAGGAGGATGGGGAGGGAGAGGGGGATGGGGAGGTTGGGAGTGATAGTGACGAGTCGTCGTGCTCCATTGGCGCGTACATTGAAGAACTGGAGGGCATTCGCGTGCTGGTGAGTGAGTGAGTGAGTGCGTGAGTGAGTGAGTCCTTTTTTTGGATGCCCATCTTGTTTGTCTGCCTGGCTCCCTCTTCCCCACACCCTTTCCCCCACATGCTCCCTCGCTTCCTCTTGGCCTGCACGCACACTTTTCCCACTTCCTTTGATTGAAGAAGTGTTTTGAGACGTCTCAAAACACACACTTTTCCCACTTCCTTTGATTGAAGAAGTGTTTTGAGACGTCTCAAAACACTTCTTCATTCTCTTGGCCTGCACGCACACTTTTCCCACTTCCTTTGCCTGATCCCCTCACTCCCCTCCCCCTCCCTCCCCCTACCCCTGGCCTCCCTCCTCTCTCGCGCCCTCCCACCAGCTTGTGGAGGACAACGTGGCGAATCGCATCGCGACACATCAGCTGCTCCTGTCCCTGCACTGCCACGTCACCCTAGCCGCCAGCACACAGGAGTGCCTGTCAATCCTCTCGGGCAGCAGGAAGAGCCCGTCAGCCTCCCCCATTGCAGACATCGTCCTTTTGGATATCTGCATGCCGGATGTGGATGGGCTGGAAGCTGCCCGCTGCATACACAAGATGTTCCGGTGAGTCATTCCTTAAGCGCTTCAGGGACATGCAATCAGATATACCTGCCAGGGGATTCTCTCTGGCAGCAGACAGGAAGAGCCCGTCAGCCTCCCCCATTGTCGACATCGTCCTTCTGGATATCTGCATGCCGGATGTGGATGGTCTGGAAGCTGCCCGCTGCATACACAAGATGTTCCGGTGAGTTTCTTTACCGTGCGCTGCTCGGAGTCATGTGCATTGTGGATGTGGAGGGGCAATCCAACAATATTTTAGGCGCCTAAAAAATCAGCCGGTGGATACACGAGATGTTCCGGTGAGTTGTTTTACCACAAGATGAGTTGCCCTGCTCGGAGTCATCTGCATTGTGGATGTGGAGGGGCAATCCAACGGTTTATCGATGCATTCGCAAAATGTCCCGGCCCAGTGAGGGCGTTGCGCTTTGTTTGTTTTGTTTCGATCCAGCCCGACGGGCAGCAATGTCCACCTTTCCCTCATTTGCTCGTACAGGCATTTGCTGCATTTTTTTCCTTTCTCTGGAAAGAGCCCATATTTGTATGTATAAAGTGTACTAATGTGATTCCAAACCCCCTCCCATTGTATCATTGCTTTCCTCCCCAACGCTCTAGTCCTGATAACCGGCCATTTATTGTTGGCATCACTGCAAGAACGGATGAGGCTCTTGTGGCGGCATGTGGGATGGTGGGAATGGATGAGGTTCTGTTAAAGCCGGTTAGCCTACGCCAATTAGCAGCTGCACTGTGTCACGTAGTAGCCGCTATGTGAACCTGGACTTCGAACTTCCCAAATTTATTATGAGCCATTGGTGATCGGAAGTGTGGGAAGGGAAGATACCGTATCAAGTTGTTTTAATTTAGTACCGTAAGTTATATGAACATTATTAATCGATAACCCTTCTCGATCCCTCGATATCTTCACAGAACATTGAAATCTTCGATTGAAGGTCCGCCACCATTTCCCCTCACCAACTTTCCCCCGCGCCAACACACCCCACTCCTTTTTTTTTCCGCGTGTCTGATATTCCTGTGCGCCGTGCAAATGTTTTCTGGAGCACCCGCACTCAGTCTCCAAACCTCCGCCTCATTCCGCATTTTCCCCGCGCTTCCTTCCGCCACCGCCCCCCATCATTCACGCAGTGCTATGAGGATTCAGGGTTCCTGAAACGCTACCTTGGGATTCACGCAAAAAAGTAGAACCTAGTTTCTGGGACTGGGATTCCATTTTGGTTTAGTCTGCTCGTCCTTGATCTCACGCTTCGGGTCCACGGCCATCGCGCGCGTATATTAAGGGTTTCTTACACGTATCCCGTATTACGTGGTGGTCGCCCTAGGGTGTTATTGGTTGAAATCCTAGTTTCTCGGACCTAGGAAAAGAAGTTACGGTACTCACCTTAGTGGCACGCAATAACGTCCCATGACTAATCTCTGCTATTGTTATTCTGTCGAATCCATAGCCCTGTCCGACGTCTGCTGTCCTCGCCCGTTGCTTGTGCCGGTTATTCAGACGGCGTGACGACTTTGACGATTTGACGGCTTGCCGGCTGGATAGTTTGACGGCTAGACGTCATCTAGCACGACCAAGTATAGTAAGCGGTACTGATTTCCCAGTGCTGACCAAGTCGCCTCGTATTTTTAGCCACGAGCAGGGTATTGAGTTCAGCTAGCCGTACTTGTTCTCCAGTCGATTTCAGTTAGTACTAAAGCGGGGGACCGAGTATAGTCAGCCATAATGCCGCCGAAAAAGGAAGCGAAGGTGTCTAAAGCGGATCTTGCGAAGAAGCAGAAGGTTGTGGAGGATAAGACGTTCGGGCTGAAGAACAAGAATAAGAGCAACAAGGTTCAGAAGTATGTGCAGAACATGCAGCAGTCCGTGCAGGCGACCGCCAGACGGCAGGCCGCCGAAGATCCAGCCGTCGCCAGAAAGGTAACATGGTTACCCTTTTTTTTATCTCGTTGGAAACCCGATTCGTGTTCGCGACGACTGGGATTCGATATTAAAAGCAGGAAAGTGGTTGCTTGTTGATGCCAGGAAAATGAAACTCTCTCGAGTAACCTGTTGATCTCCTTGCTACGTTCTTTGTCGGTTATGTTAGTTTCAGAGGATCTTTGCAGCTAAAGGATTCGACAGTTATCTAGAATGCTGGGCTAATGCACGTGAATGGGTTGACCGTGTTAACGTGCTTGTGTCGCGTTGCCTGTGATGTTCTTGTATTGGATGAATGTCGATGTGCTTGCATCGGGAGTGCAGAAGAAGAAGGAGGAGGAGGCGAGGAGGGAGAAGGAGCTGAACGATCTCTTCAGAGTCGCCATCTCTCAGCCCAAGGTCCCGCCAGGTACCATTTTCACCCGGGCTTCCCTCGGCTTTGGTACCCTTCGAACCAAGCTTTCCTCTGTTTTATTTCGCCATCACTCAGCCCAACATCCCGCCAGCCAGGTACCTTTTCACGTGAGCTCTCTTCTCTCTTGCTACTCTGCAGCATCCCAAGGTCCCTCCAGGTACCGTTTCACCTGAGCTCTCCTCCCTTTCGCGGTCGCTCAGCCCAAGGTCAAGTGCTCCGCAATGTGTTCCATGAGCTGGGATTCGTTCTCCTCCGCAATGTTTCCTTCCCTCTGTCCTCTGGCTATTTTGAAACCCTAATTTCACATTATGGCAGGCGTGGACCCCAAGTCGATTGTCTGCGAGTTCTTCCGCCACGGGCAGTGCACCAAGGGCTTTAAGTGCAAGTTCTCGCACGACCTGAGCGTGGAGCGCAAGGGCGAGAAGATCGACCTGTACAGCGACCAGCGGGAAAATGATGAAGGTGTGTGGTTGGGTGTGTGTGTGTGTGTGGAGGGGTGGGGGGAGAGGGTGCTTGTCGTTTGTGTGAGGATGGGGTGGGGGGGGGAGGGGGGGGCGTGTCTTCGACTGAAACGAGTTTTCGCACATCCTGAGCGTGGAGCGCAAGGGCGAGAAGATCGACCTGTACAGCGACCAGCGGGATGACGAAGGTGTGTGGTTGGGTGGGTGTGTGTGTGTGTGTGGTGGGGTGGGGGGAGATGGTGTTTGTCGTTTGTGTGAGGATGGGGTGGGGGAGGGTGGGGGGGCGTGTCTTCAACTGAAACGAGTTTCCGCACATCCTGAGCGTGGAGTGTAAGGGAGAGAAGATCGACCTGTACAGCGACCAGCGGGACGACGAAGGTGTGTGGGGAGAGGCGCGCGCGTGTGTGTGTGTGGCGGCGGGGGTGGGGGAGAGGGTGTTTGTGTGAGGGGGAGGGGGCGTGACTTTGACTCAAACAAGTTTTCGCACGACCTGAGCGTGAGCGCAAGGGCGAGAAAGTGCATATGTGTGCCTATGCGTGCCTGTTACTGCCTGTGCGCCTGTATGCTCGTGTGCGTCTGTGCGTCTGTGCGTCTGTGTGTTTGTGCGTCTGTATGCGTGTAGCTGTTCTGTACCCCAATTCATGGTCACCCATCTGTTTGCCCATGTGCCTGTGCGTGCCTATTACTACCTGTGCGCCGGTATGCCCGTGTGCGTCTGTGTGTTTGTGTGCGTGTGCGCGTGCGAGCAGACAAGATGGAGGACTGGGATCAGACGAAGCTGGAGCAGGTGGTGGCGTCGAAGAGATTCCTCTGCCTCTCTTTGCTCATGCATCTTTGTACTCGTGTGTCTGTGCGTGCCTCTCCCCCTCCCCGCATGCGAGCAGACAAGATGGAGGACTGGGATCAGGCGAAGCTGGAGCAGGTGGTGGCGTCTAAGGGCGCGGAGTACAAGAACGCCAACAAGCCCACCGAGATTGTACGTAGAGAGTGGTAGAGACGGATAGAGACGGGCATAAATGGGAATAGAGCGATAGAGAGTGGTAACAAATCATTGAGATCTAGTAAGTTCGAGCAGGTGGTGGCGTCTAAGGGCGCGGAGTACAAGAACGCCAACATGCCCACCGAGATTATACGTCATCAACTGGGAGTGGTGGAGAGTGGTAGAGATGGATAGAGATGGGTATGAAGCGGTAGAGAGTGGTATGGAGGCAGGGAGAGATGAGAAGCTGGAGCAGGTGGTGGCGTCCAAGGGCGCGAAGTACAAGAACGCCAATCCATCCACCCCCTCCTCCCCATTCCCGGCATCCCCCCCCATTCCCATGCTCTCTCCCCCCCATCCCCATCCCCCGGCTGTCTCACGCCGTTCTTATCCCCCCTTTCCCACCCCCCTGCAGGTATGTAAGCATTTCTTAGAAGCCGTGGAGAAGAAGCAGTATGGGTGGTTCTGGGCGTGCCCCAACGGCGGCAAGGACTGCATGTACCGCCACGCTCTGCCGCCCGGCTACGTGCTCAAGTCGCAGATGAAGGCTCTGCTGGAGGAGGAGCAGGCGAACAAGCTCACCGTTGAGGAGATGATCGAAAACGAGGTGAGGCGGAGGTGGGTAGGAGGGGGAGAGGGTGAGGGGAGGGTGAGTGAAGGGTAGGGGAGGGTGAGGGTGGGGCATGAGGGCAAGGGGAGGTGGGACATAGAGAGCGAGAGGGTGTGTGCTCAAGTCGCAGATGAAGGCTCTGCTGGAAGAGGAGCAGGCGAACAAGGTGACCGTTGAGGAGATGATTGAAAACGAGGTGAGTGGGGTGAGAAGGAGGTGAGCGGGGTGAGAAGCGTTCTTAGACCACTTTATTGCCCGCATACGTGGCTGGATGCTTAATTTGCAGATGAACTAGCCCTCGTTTTCTCTTCCCCATCTTCCCCACCCCTCTGGCAGCGGAAGGTGACAGCAAGCCACGCACAGCTGACCACCGAGATCTTCATGTAGTGGGAGTGGAAGAAGCAGGCGGTTCCAACCCCTCTTCACATCTTGTTCCTCTCACCGGCCCCCTCTCCCTCCCCTCACCCCCGCAGCGGAAGATGACAGCAAGTCACACGCAGCTGACCACCGAGATCTTCATGGATTGGAAGAAGAAGAAGCAGGAGGTTTTAAACTCAACCCCTCTTCACGTCTTCTTCTGCTCTTCACATATTTTCTCTCCTGCCTCGTCTCCCTCTCCGACCTGGGAGTGCAAGATGACAGCGAGTCACACACAGCTGACGACCAAGATCTTCATGGATTGGAAGCGGAAGAAGCAGGCTGGTCCCAAAATCAACACCTCTTTACATCTTCTTTCTCTCTCTCCCTCTCCTCATCTCTCCTTTCTCTCCCTCGTTCCCCTTGCAGCGCAAGATGACAGCAAGTCACACACAGCTGACCACCGAGATCTTCATGGAGTGGAAGCGGAAGAAGCAGGAGGTGAAGGACGCTGAGCAGGCAGCCAAGAAGGCAGCACGCGCCAAGGAGGACAGAATGAGGTGAGTGGGGTAGGGGGCGCTGTGGGGGGTTACAGAGTAGAATAAGTGAGGTGAGGTTGAGTGAAGGAGGGCAGCAGAGGGTTCTTCAGTGCACGCCGCTTGGCCCATGTATTGCTGCACCCATTTGCCTTATCTGCCTTGGCATGTGATCCTTGGCATGTGATCCTTGGCATGTGATCCTTGGCATGTGATCCTTGGCATGTGATCCTTGAATTCCCAAGGGCCTGCCGCTCTTTTCCCCTTCCTTCCCTTCCCATCCCGTCCCCTCCCATCCACTCCCCTCCTTGACTCCGCGGTGGTCGTGAGCTGTTTTTCTGTCCGATGCCGACGGCAATGAGCGAGCGAGTGGCCTTTCTGTCGACGAGGATCCGGCGTGTGACATGTATGGGCGAGTGGCTTTTGAGAATTCTCAAAAGCGAGTGGAGGGGAGCAGTTGTTGTGCAACGTGACAACCCCTCATGCATATCCCCTTCTTCTCTTCCCTGTCTCTCCCCTCCCTCCCTTACTGTTCTGCAGTGGTCGCGAGCTGTTTCTGTCCGATGCCTCTCTCTTTATCGACGACGATGCGGCATGTGATGCGTACTAGCGAGTGGAGGAGGAAGGGGCCGCAGCTCCCCCTGCTGCCATTCCAGTGTCAGAACCCCTCATCCATGCCCTTCTTTCCTTATGCTGTCTCTCCCCTCCCTCTTCCCTCCCTCCCCTTCCTTCTGCAGTGGTCGCGAGCTGTTTCTGTCTGATGCATCTCTGTTTGTCGACGACGTTTCAGCATGCGATGCGTACGAGCGAGTGGAGGAAGAGGAAGGGGCCGCAGCTCCCCCTGCTGCCACTCCAGTCTCAGAACCCCTCATCTATCCCCCTCTTTCCTTATTCTGTCTCTCCACTCCCTCTCCACTCCCTCTTCCCTCCCTCCCTTACCGTTCTGCAGTGGCCGCGAGTTGTTTCTGTCCGATGCGTCTCTCTTTATCGACGACGATGCGGCATGTGATGCGTACGAGCGAGTGGAGGAGGAGGAAGGGGCCGCAGCTCCCCCTGCTGCCACTCCAGGCGAATCCAGCAGCAGCGGTGGGGCAGGTGCAGGGCCTAGCTCAGCAGGAGGGGCGGCTGGTTCATCTGGGCTTGCTCTCACGGAGGAGGATGAGATGCTGTTGGCTGAGGACGATGATGAGCTGGCACCGGAGGAGCTGGAGGAGCTGGAAGCTGAGCTGGCGAAAACATCAATCTCTTGAGTCAAGAGTGAGGAGATCTATGGGATACATACCATTGGCTGGGGTATGCTGAGCTGGTAGCACCAGATGAGTTGGGAGGAACTGGAAGCTGAGCTGGCTAAAGCTCTTAGGATGTTATCATGAGTGACAGGGCTGGTTCATGAGCTACCTGCGAAAGGGTAGTGTTGGAAAACCCCAACCTTGGGATTACTACGTACCAGGAAATTGGTGTTTTTGGAATGCATGGGGCATTAGGCTCATTGCGATGACGAGGGGTTTGTTGGAACCTGCAAAGTCATCTATCTGTCTCAGTCAAGAAGAGTGGGCGTGCCTACTGCCTGGATGCGATAAGGTGTAAAGACCTGTGTGAATGCGTCATGAACATGTGCAAGCTCTCAATTGTGGTTGATGCAGACATCTGTATTTGCTACACAAGTAGTTATAATACATTTTGTCCGAACAGTTGTTTCATCCTTGCGCTATTGCGAAGCATTTCGAATCGGAACATGAGATGAACCACCTGCTAATCTTTGCTCCCCTCAGTATAAACCTTGAAACTTGACTCTCCCGAAAACTACTACTGGAACCCTAGAAACCTTTGCGATTCGAGGACTTACGCTTTCGCACACTTAGCTCTGACGCGATCGCTCCGGGATATTAAAATGGCGAAGAATTCGTAGACGATACCCAGTCGTCTAATGCTCGCAAGCTTGTAGCCTCTTGTTAGTATCCGGTCGCTTTGAATCAATTGAGAAATCTCATTTGCACGTGCACAAGCATGTGCACGCAAACACGAAATCAGGGTTATTACTAACCTTGACGTAGCCATAGGCAGTCATTGCTGATTGGGGTATCTGGAATCGTTTATTAGAGCTCGCAAAGAATTCGGTATCTGGTTTTCCCTGTAGAAAGCCATGGGGCGAATGGATCCGCTGTTTCGTTTTGACGGTGATGACGATAACGAGGATGGAGGGGAGGTTGCGGCGTGGGATTTCAAGGGCGCGGGGAAGACTCTTGCGGAGGAGTTCAAGGAGCGAAAAACAACGTCCGTTGATACCAAGATCGAGATGATCCGACGGCGGAGAGCGATGGGGCTTGGGAGCACGAAGAGAGGGAGAGAAGGGGAGGACGAGGAGGAGGAGGATGAAGAGGAGGAAGAAGAGGAGGAAGAGGAGGAGGATGAGGAGGAGGATGAGGAGGAGGAAGAGGAGGAGGAAGAGGCAGAGGAAGAGGAAGACGAAGCGGAGGAGGAGGAAGAGGAGATGGAAGAGGAGGAAGAAGAGGAAGAGGAAGAATTGGAAGAGGAAGAGGAGGAGGAGGAAGATGAGGAGGAGGAAGAGGAAGAGGAGGAAGACGAAGAGGAGGAGGAGGAAAATGAGGAGGAAGAGGCGAGCCACAGGAAGACAAAGAAGGAGGTATGAATAAACGAGAAGGGATTGAGAGGGGTTCAACAGGTGGGTAGAGTGGTTAGAAGAGATGGGAAGGGAAGGAACGCGGCCACAGTGAGGTAAGTCACGCGCATCTCGCACAACATCTAGGGGTTTTCGGGTTCAGGGTTTATCACAGGTTCTGGATGTGGGAAGGATTTCTGCTTTACAGGCTCTAAGGTGTGGGTGAACAAAAACAAGTCTTTGTTGAAACGAAGATTGCAACGTCGGAACCAAACCATGCAAAAGCGAGGTGGGAAGGAAGATTAGTTGAGACCAAAACAGTCTCATAAGCCCTTTCCTCCTTCTCGAAGACCTCCAAAACCCTTCTTTCCTTCTTCTCCCTCCCTTCTCCCCCCCATCCCCCTTGCCCGTACCCGGCAGCCCAAAATAAAAGATATCGAAAAGGCACCCAAGGCGAAAGCCAGGCGAGAAAAGGAAGGTGCAGGAAAGGGCGAAGGCGGGGAAGGGGGAGGCGGAGGGGGAGGCGGGGGGGTGTATTTCGAGGGGGCGGAGGAGGCAGGGGCGCGGTTCTCCGCGTCGTCCTTCTCAGAACTGCAGCTGTCGCGGCCGCTGCTGCGTGCGTGTGCTGCCCTGAGGTATGACAAGCCCACGCCCATCCAGGCGGCATGCGTGCCGCTCGCCATGGCAGGGAGGGACATCTGTGGCAGTGCAATCACTGGCTCTGGCAAGGTGCGTTTTGCTCTCGTATGCTGCTCCTGCTCATCTATCACATTGCCCATGTGCTGCTCTGGGGTACGACAAGTCCACGCCCATCCAGGCTGCATGCGTGCCGCTGGCCATGGCTGGGAGAGACATTTGCGGCAGTGCCATCACCGGGCTCTGGCAAGGTGCGTGTGTGTGTGTGCGTGTGTGTGTGTGTGTGTGTGTGTGTGGTTGTGCGTGTGTGTGCGTGTGTGTGTGTGCGTGTGTGTGCGTGTGTGTGCGTGTGTGTGTGTGTGGTTGTGCGTGTGTGTGCGTGTGTGTGCGTGTGGTTGTGCTTGTGCGTGTGTGTGGTTGTGCGTGTGTGTGCGTGTGTGTGTGGGTGTGGTTGTGCTTGTGGGTGTGTGTGTGTTAACCTGTCGCGTCCTTCTCAGAACTGCAGCTGTCACCTCCAGGCAGCATGTGTGCCGCTGGCTATGGCAGGTTGGGATATATGTGGGAGCGCCATCACAGGATCAGGCAAGGTGCGTGTTGCTCTCTCGTTGCTCGTGCTGCTCCCGCGCTGCGCCTGCTCTCCCCATATTGGAGGCCTGCTGATTCGCCCCAAGCGGGTGGCGGCCACTCATGAGGCGCCTAGTGGTAAGACTCTCCCTTCCTGCCTCTGCCCCTCCCCGCCCACACAGACCGCGGCCTTTGCCCTGCCCATATTGGAGCGTCTGCTGTTCCGCCCCAAGCGCGTGGCCGCTACTCGTGTGCTCGTGCTCACCCCGACAAGAGAGCTGGCCGTGCAGTGAGTGCTATCCTTTATCGTTCTTTATGTTTACGAGCGGTGCAGCGTATGAGCGGGCGGTGCAGCGTATGAGCGGGCGGTGCAGCGTATGAGCGGGCAGTGCAGCGTATGAGCAGGCGGTGCAGCGTATGAGCGGGCGGTGCAGCCTATGAGCGTGCGGTGCAGCGTATGAGCGGGCGGTGCAGCGTATGAGCGGGCGGTGCAGCGTATGAGCGGGCGGTGCAGCGTATGAGCGGGCGGTGCAGCCTATGAGCATGCGGTGCAGCGTATGAGCAGGCGGTGCAGCGTATGAGCGGGCGGTGCAGCGTATGAGCGGGCAGTGCAGCGTATGAACAGGCGGTGCAGCGTATGAGCGGGCGGTGCAGCGTATGAGCGGGCAGTGCAGCGTATGAGCAGGCGGTGCAGCGTATGAGCGGGCGGTGCAGCCTATGAGCGTGCGGTGCAGCGTATGAGCAGGCGGTGCAGTGTATGAGCGGGCGGTGCAGCCTATGAGCGTGCGGTGCAGCGTATGAGCAGGCGGTGCAGCATATGAGCGGGCGGTGCAGCGTATGAGCAGGCGGTGCAGCGTATGAGCGGGCGGTGCAGCCTATGAGCGTGCGGTGCAGCGTATGAGCGTGCGGTGCAGCGTATGAGCGTGAAATGTACCTCGTCGCACCTCCTTTTCTTATCATCCCTCCCCACGCACTCCACCAGAGTGCACAGCATGGTGGAGAAGCTGGCTCATTTCACAGACATCCGCTGCGGGCTCGTGGTGGGCGGTCTGTCCATGTTGAATTCACTGACACACCCCTTCCCCGCTCGCTGCCTTTCACCCGCACTCACCCACCAGAGTGCACAGCATGGTGGAGAAGCTGGCTCAGTTCACAGACATCCGCTGTGGGCTCGTGGTGGGGGGTTTATCGATAAAGAACCAGGAGGTGGCTCTGCGGACAAGGCCAGATATTGTCGTTGCGACTCCTGGAAGGTGAGGGGGAGGGGGGACATGGAATGGGTTGGATGCGGTTGGATGGGGTGGGATGCGATTGGGGGTCAGACAGTGACCTTTCCATCAAGAGCCAGGAGGTTTTTTCTGCGCCCTCACCCTGACATTGTGGTTGCCAGTCCAGTCAGGTGGGGGCCTGCACAATGGCAGAGCAGACTTGAACCTGAACGACCTGGCCTGAACAGTGACTGACTGAACGTGCTATTGCCTTATTTTCGTTCCGATTTCGTCCGTTCCTGGCTTCTTTGCCTATCTCATTCCTTCCTTGCCCCACCCACTCAACCCCCAGGCTAACGGACCATCTGCACAAGAGCCAGAGAGTTGACTTGAACGACCTTGCCGTGCACACACTCTCTCCCCTCCAGGCTGGTGGACCATCTGCAGAACAGCCAGGGCGTTGACTTGAACGACTTGGTCATTCACAAGCTCCCAACTCGCAATTGTGTGTGTTTGCTTTTCCTTGTTTCGTCCCCTCCTCTCTTCGCAGGCTGGTGGACCATCTGCAGAACAGCCAGAGCGTTGACTTGAACGACCTGGCCATTCACACACTCATACTCACACCCTTGCCTTTTTACTCATACATACACATACTCACTCTCCCCCACCTCCAGACTGGTGGATCATCTGCAGAACAGCCAGAGCGTTGACTTGAACGACTTGGCCATTCTAGTGCTGGACGAGGCGGACAGGCTGCTGCAACTGGGGTTCCAGGAGGAGGTGATGGAAATAGTAAGTGCTGCCCGAAATAGTAAGTGCTGTCTAAAATAGTAAGTGGGGTTGTTTTGGTGCCATTCTGGTGCTGGACGAGGCTGATAGGCTGCTGCAGCTGGGGTTCCAGGAGGAGGTGATGGAAATAGTAAGTGCTGCCCGAAATAGTAAGTGCTGTCTAAAATAGTAAGTGGGGTTGTTTTGGTGCCATTCTGGTACTGGACGAGGCTGATTGGCTGCTCCAGCTGGGGTTCCAGGAGGAGGCGATGGAAATAGTAAGTGCTGCCTGAAATAGTAAGTGCTGTCTAAAATAGTAAGTGGGGTTGTTTTGGTGCCATTCTGGTGCTGGACGAGGCTGATTGGCTGCTCCAGCTGGGGTTCCAGGAGGAGGTGATGGAAATAGTAAGTGCTGCCCGAAATAGTAAGTGCTGTCTAAAATAGTAAGTGGGGTTGTTTTGGTGCCATTCTGGTGCTGGACGAGGCTGATTGGCTGCTCCAGCTGGGGTTCCAGGAGGAAGTGATGGAAATAGTAAGTGCTGCCTGAAATAGTAGGTCTCACGGACACTCACGGACACTCACTGCCCCTCCTGTGTCCTCCTTGCCCCTCCCCTCGCTCTCTCTCGCAGCTGGAGAGCCTCTTACTTGACGCTCAATGCTCATACCCATCCTACCTCCTACCTGCCCCTCCTACCTCCTCCCTGCCCCTCCTACCTCCTCCTCCCTGCCCCTCCTATCTCCTCCTCCCTGCCCCTCCTACCTCCTCCTCCCTGCCCGTCCCCTCCTGCCTGTCCATCAGGTGCGAGTGTGTCCCAAGCGCCGCCAGACCCTTCTCTTCTCGGCCACCATGAGTGGGGAGGTGCAGCAGCTGGCCAGCCTGTCACTCAACCTGCCCGTGCGGCTGTCTGCTGATGCTTCCATGCAGCGACCGCGCACACTGGAAGAAGAGTGAGTGAGAAAGGAGGAGAAGAAGATGAGGGCTGGAATGGGGAGGGGAAAGAGGAAGAAGGGATGTGCTCGCATGCTGTGTCTGCTCCAAGTCTCATGTCTTGTCACCCAGATAAGGGTGGAAAAGGGGAAAGAGGATGAAGGGATGTGCTCACTTGCTGTTTCTGCTGCTCCAAGTCTCATGTCTCGTTTTACAGGAGACTTTTTACAATTCTAAACTTCCATGACTTCTCGTGCTGTGTCTGCTGCTCCAGGGCTCATGTCTTGTTTGGAGGCGCCTCAGGCTGGTTCTTGAGAATTCTCAAAAACCATCTCATGTCTTGTCTTGTCTTGTCTTGTCTTGTTTGGAGGCGCCTCAGGACTAAACTTCTCTGTTCCTCCCCTTGCCATGCCTTCGTCATGCACCCCCACCCCACTCCTTCCTCCCCCACTCCTTCCTCCCCCACCCCTTCCTCCCCCTCTCCAGACCAGAGTGGTTCGGGTGCGATCGTCTCAAGAGGCAGACAGAGAGGTCATGCTGCTCGCTGCGTGCTCTGGCTGCTCAAAACAAAACCCATGCTTCCTACTCACTCCTCCCCCTGCTCTAAGTCGACTCAAAAGTCACCTCGACTCAAAAGTCGACTCTTGAGTCGACTCAAAAGTCTGCTCAAAACAAAATCCATGCTTCCTACTCACTCCTCCCCCTGCCATCCCCCCATCCTCCCCCACTCCCTCTTCCCTCTCTCCCTCCTCCTTCTCTCCCTCCTCCCCCTCTTCCTCCTTCCTCATTCCCTCCTGCCTCCCCTTTTCCAGAGTGATTCGGGTGCGATCGTCTCAGGAAGCAGACAGAGAGGCGATGCTGCTTGCTGTGTGCTCCAGGCTCGCCCAAACCGATGGTGCAGGCTCGGAAGGAGGGACGGAAGGTGGTTCGGAAGGAAGAGGGGCAGGAGATTCAAGAAGAGGGGAGAAGCGGAGTAAAGCACAGGGGGGAGGTGGAGTAATTGTCTTCAGGTGAGCTTTGAATCGACTGAAATGGCACCTCGGATATAGGAGGAGGGGAGAAGAGGAGAGGAGTAAACCACAAGAGGGAGGACGAGTGATCAACTTTAGACACATTCGTGCAGATGTTGTGGTGACGCGTGAAATGGTTCTGATGTGTCATGTGCTGCTGCTGACGTGGCTCCTGTATCCCAGCATGTTCCATTACAGGCTCTTCCTTGGTGGTTAAGCGCGCCATGATCATATGCTGACGTGGCACCCGTTTCTCCCTCCGGTGGTCCTTTTTGTCTGTTTGCAGTGGCCGCAAGGTAGAGGCGCATCGGCTGAAGATTATATTTGGTCTGCTTGGATGGCGGGCGGCAGAGCTACACGGGAATCTCACCCAGGCCATGAGACTGGATGTGAGTATATGTATAATGAATGAGAGGATGTGATTCTATTGGATGCTGACTGTACTCAGTGTTAGTGCCTGAAACGTTTCCCTTGCAGCCTGCACCTTCACAGCGTTTCAACTTTGGTTCCTCATTCCTCCACGCACCCATGCATCGTTCCCTCCTCAGCACTAGTGTACGCCTTTTCAGGCGCCTCAATAGCCGTTCGTTCATTACTGTACTGTACAGTGTACACCCCTGCCTGCCCTTTCCTGCACGATGTTTTCCCCTCACGAGGGTGCTCAGGCCTTGGCTTGGAGCTTCCAAACACACGATGATCGCCACATCGTTCCAAGGCCTTAGACTTTCTGATCGCCACATCGTTCCAAGGCCTTAGACTTTCTGATCGCCACATCGTTCCAAGGCCTTAGACTTTCTGATCGCCACATCGTTCCAAGGCCTTAGACTTTCTGATCGCCACATCGTTCCAAGGCCTTAGACTTTCTGATCGCCGCTGACATCGCTGCTTTGCCTCAGAAATCGTTCATGCCTCTCCGCTCCCTGCTCGTACATCTTTTCCTCCTTTCCCCGCTCGAACCTATGTTGCCCCACTCAGGCTTTGGAGCGATTCAGAACGCACGATGTGGACTTTCTGATCGCCACTGACGTCGCTGCCAGGGTGCGTGCGCTTGATAAAAGCTTTTGATGAAAAAACTTTCAACTGGGTGCGTTTGCAACAACTGCGTTCGATAAGACTTTTGAGACGTCTCAAAATTCAACTGGGTGCGTGCGCAGCAACTGCGTTTGATTAGATGTTTTTGTGTTTCCCCGTGTTCTTTCCTTTGTCGCCTTCTGCTCATCCGTTTTGGAATTTATCAAGTATGCGTAGGCATTCCTCTCTCAAATGTATTCCCTTGTTTCCATTCTCCTTTTCATTCTCCGCATTTCAAAACCTCTCCTCCCCCGGACTCCATTCCATTCAGGGTTTGGACATTGCTGGGGTGCAAACGGTTGTCAACTACCACACGCCCCGTGAAATCACCAAGTGAGCGATTTCAAATTGCAGTGGTGAGCACTTCACAAAGCACAACCTTTATCACTGTTACTTCCCTTCCTTCCCCCGTCGTTTCTCTCCCTCCCTCCATCCCATCCCATCCCATCCCATCCCATCCCATCCCATCCCATCCCATCTCATCCCATCCCATCCCCATCCTTTGTTCTTGATTCTCCTCCAAACACCCCCACCCATCTCCCATTTCCCCAGCTACGTGCATCGAGTGGGGCGGACAGCGCGGGCGGGGAAGATCGGATCGTCTGTGACGTTTGTGGGGGAGAAGGACAGGAGGCTGCTGAAGGCGATGGTGAGTGAATGAGAGAGGGAAGGGATGTAGGAGGAGACAGCACGGTAAGGGAAGCTAGGGTCAGCTGTGACGTTTGTGGGGGAGTATGACAGGAGGCTGCTGAAGGCGATGGTGAGTAGTGCGGGAGGGGTAGAAGGAGAGTGCGTTGTTCAAGGAAGGAAGGGGAAGAAGGAGGGAAAGAGCGGACAGCACGGGCGGGGAAGCTAGGGTCAGCTGTGACGTTTGTCGGGGAGAAGTACAGGAGACTGTTGAAAGCGATGGTGAGAGAATGAGAGGGAAGGGATGTAGGAGGAGAGAGCACGGGCGGGGAAGCTAGGGTCAGCTGTGACGTTTGTCGGGGAGAAGTACAGGAGACTGTTGAAAGCGATGGTGAGAGAATGAGAGGGAAGGGATGTAGGAGGAGAGAGCACGGTAAGGGAAGCTAGGGTCAGCTGTGACGTTTGTCGGGGAGAAGTACAGGAGACTGTTGAAAGCGATGGTGAGAGAATGAGAGGGAAGGGATGTAGGAGGAGAGAGCACGGTAAGGGAAGCTAGGGTCAGCTGTGACGTTTGTCGGGGAGAAGTACAGGAGACTGTTGAAAGCGATGGTGAGAGAATGAGAGGGAAGGGATGTAGGAGGAGAGAGCACGGTAAGGGAAGCTAGGGTCAGCTGTGACGTTTGTCGGGGAGAAGTACAGGAGACTGTTGAAAGCAATGGTGAGAGAATGAGAGGGAAGGGATGTAGGAGGAGAGAGCACGGTAAGGGAAGCTAGGGTCAGCTGTGACGTTTGTCGGGGAGAAGTACAGGAGACTGTTGAAAGCGATGGTGAGAGAATGAGAGGGAAAGGATGTAGGAGGAGAGAGCACGGTAAGGGAAGCTAGGGTCAGCTGTGACGTTTGTCGGGGAGAATGACAGGAGGCTGCTGAAAGCGATGGTGAGATGGGGAGGAGAGGTGGAAGAATATGTGGCAGCATTGTGTGATGGGATTTAAACTCCTTAAACCCTTGGTTTCTCATCACTGCCCCTCCCTCACTGCCCCTCCCCCACGCGCTCCCTTACCCCAGACGAGGCGGGCAGGCAGGAAACTGAAGCAGAGGCGGCTAACCCAAGCGGCGGTGGAGCGATGGCAGCAGCGAGTGGAGGGCATGGAGAGGGACGTGTGGGGGGAAGGGGGTTTTGATGTGGTGTAATTTTCTACCCTCCCTGCACCAGGAACCCTCCCACTCTCCTTCTTTCTCCCTGCAGACGAGGCGGGCAGGCAGGAAACTGAAGCAGAGGCGGCTAGCCCAAGCGGCGGTGGAGCGGTGGCAGCAGCAAGTGGAGGGCATGGAGAGGAACGTGTGGGGGGAAGGGGGTTTTGATGTGGTGTAATTTTCTACCCTCCCTGCACCAGGAACCCTCCCACTCTCCTTCTTTCTCCCTGCAGACGAGGCGGGCAGGCAGGAAACTGAAGCAGAGGCGGCTAGCCCAAGCGGCTGTGGAGCGGTGGCAGCAGCGAGTGGAGGGCATGGAGAGGGACGTGTGGGGGGAAATGAAGCAACATGATAGCATATGTTCCCCCCCTTAACCCAATACTGCTGTCTTTTGAGGCACCTCAGAAGCAACATGATAGCATATGTTCCCCCCCTTAACCCAATACTGCTGTCTTTTGAGGCGCCTCAGAAGCAACATGATAGCATATGTTCCCCCCCTTAACCCAATACTGCTGTCTTTTGAGGCGCCTCAGAAGCAACATGATAGCATATGTTCCCCCCCTTAACCCATTACTGCTGTCTTTTGAGGCGCCTCAGAAGCAACATGATAGCATATGTTCCCCCCCTTAACCCAATACTGCTGTCTTCTCCCCCTGCACGTCACACCCTTCAGACCAGGCGGGCAGGCAGGAAACTGAAGCAGCGGCAGATAGCCCAAGCGGCGGTGGAGAGGTGGCGGCAGCGGGTGGAGGGCATGGAGAGGGATGTAGCAGCCGTTATGAAGCAGGAGACGGAGGAGCGGGTGCTGAGAAAGGCAGAGATGGAAGCAGTCAAGGTGGGTGGGTGAGTTTGCTGCCTTGTGGTCGGCTCAAAAGTCCTCTTGAAGTACCCTGGAGAGGGAGGAACGGGTGCTGAGAAAGGCAGAGATGGAAGCAGTCAAGGTGGGTGGGTGCATTGTGTGTATAGTATCATATAGAGGGTGTGTGGCAGTACCGTTTTCCTCCTTGCTTCTCATCACTCCTTCCACTTGCCTTGCTCACTCCTCCCTGCCCTGATGCCACGTCAGGCTGAGAACATGCTGACTCACCGCGACGAGATATTTGCCAAGCCCAAGCGCACGTGGTTCCAGAGCAAGAGGGAGAAGGAGGCAGTCGCAGAGGCGGCTAAGGCTGTGGCTGACGCTGAGGAGGAGGGTGGGGAGGGCGCCAGTGGGAAGGGCGGAGGAAAGGGAGGAGGGAAGGTGCTTTCGTTAGAGGAGGTGCAGGAGAAGAGGAGGAAGGAGAAGATGAAGAAGCAGCGAGAGGTGAGTGGTGTGCTGCTGAGGCAGAAATCCCGTTCTAGAAATACCTCCTTAAAAAAGAAGGGCCGGAAGCTAGAGGCAGAGAGGCAGGCACAAGAGGAGGCAGAAGTACAGGCCTTTGGGCTGGATGAGTAAAAAAATCCTGCTCTTGCTCTCGTTGTCCCTCGCCCTTCCCCCTCCCTTCCTTCTCCTTCTCTCTTTCTTTTCCCTCCCTCCAGAAATCCCTCCCTAGGAAGACGCGCAGAAATCTAGAAGCAGAGCGGCAGGTGCAAGAGGAGGAGGCAGAAGCACAGGCCTTGGGGCTGGATGATGCACCATGGCTACCAGGATGCACCATGCATCCCCAGCAACCATACATCCCCGCCCTAAAATCCCACTCTCCTCCCCTTACATCCCATACCCCATTCCCTCTCCCTTGTCCTTCCGCTCTCCTCTCTTCGTGTCTGTCTTTCTTCAGAAATCGCTGCCTAGAAAGAAGCGGCGAAAGCTAGAGGCAGAGAGGCAGGCTCAAGAGGAGGAGGCAGAAGCACAAGCTTTTGGGCTGGATGATCAACCTTCATCCGCTTCATCTGATCGCACTGTCCCCCTCCCCTTGCCTCCCCTTCCCGTTTATGTATTGTCCGCTCACGTTCCCCTTCCAGAAATCACTGCCTAGGAAGAAGCGGCGAAAGCTAGAGGCAGAGAGGCAGGCACAAGAGGAGGAGGCAGAAGCACAGGAATTTGGGCTGGATGATGAGAAACCCAAGGCGGGAAAGACGAGAGCCGATCTTGCTTACCGCAAAGCCAAGGCAATCAAATCCGCCGAGCGGCTCCGGGCAGCTGGAAAGATTGTCAGCCTGCCCAAGGCGGGCGGCCGGGCAGCTGGGAAGAAACCGAAGCAGAAAACGCAGTCCCGGTCTCGAGAAATGAAGGATTTGTTTCAAACGGATATGGCCAAGGGCAAGGGAGGAGGGGCAGGTGGGGCAGGAGGGGAGGTGAGGGGGAAAGGGAAGGCTGGAGGAACTTTCAAGAGCAAGAAGCGGTGAGTTCTTGTGTCGTTGGAGCTGTTATTTCTTGACTTTTGAGATTTCCCAAGAGGAAATCAGGGTTGTGTTCTGCTGTGTTCTGTATTTCACATACGGTACGGTACGGTACAAATGTGTTTACTCAAGGTTCAAGCATTGTCTCTTTCTCCCGTTGCATCCTGTTCTTCCCTTGACAGGTACAAGAGGCGGTGAGTGATGCAGAATGAAGTTTATGTAGAAAGGTTCAGACAGTACCGTGTATTCAAGAGGCTCGTAATTACTGTTGGAAGGGGCTGCACGTAATTTGTGCCTCATGCTAAGATAGCTAGCTAGTGTAATCCGCCAAGCCTCGATTACTGTACAATATGGTACTGTTAGCAGTGCGCAGTAACTAATGTTTATGTTTCTAGGAGTCTGCTGCGCGCCAAATTGCTGAAGGAAAAGCTCGATTGGATTTCCATCGCACCAGCTTGAGTGAGCTGGCACAGGTAGGAAAGTGCGGGAGTACTCGCAAGCACATTGGTTTGATGAGTCATCTCATCACAGGCCTAGCATCTGTCTGCAACAGCACGATAGCGCAGCTCTCTCTAGTTTAGTCAGCACTGCACTTCCCTCAAGTCCATTCCACATGGTCCCTGTGGCAACATTGATACTGTACCAACAGCTACAGAGGCACACGCGCTCTACACTGTCGCGAAATGGAATCATGTCTTAGAAACTCTCAGCGAGTCACAGGCTAGGCATCTAGTCGCTGAGGCAGCATTCTCTAGCGTGCACAGCCCACAAGACCACATGGCCCCTGTAGAAGCATTATTGGTCGAGGTACCCGCATCCCCACCACCACCAACAACAATGGCTGCAGCAGCAGGGGTGTCATCGATTACAATGGCTGCACTAGCACTGGTACCACCACCAGCAGCAGCAGAAGCAGCAGCACCGCCACTGCCACCAACACCACCACCAGCATTACTTACACCAATTACCATCGCTGCTTTGGCATTCACATTGGCACTGGTACCAGCAGCAACAGTTACTGAGGCACCGTCAAAGGCAGGGCGAGAGGAGGGTCGCACTGCGAAGCATGCTTCGCACTGAAGCACGATGCCCTGAAAGACACACATGCACGCACGCACGCACGCACACACACACACACACACGGAGAGAGGGCAATGAGTTGACCGGGTGGAGTGACAGTGCACAAGTGGTTTTTGGCTCCTGTGCGACAACACAAAAGCAGTGCTGCTGCCACTATTTACAAGGAGCCTCGGGATCCGTTTCACTTTCTGGGGTGCGTCAAAAGTGGAGTACAAAGGTGCAAGCAGGTGAAGCGGTCGAGTGCGTCCAGTGCTTTGCCTTTCACTTACCCGGTTGATCAGAGTGCAGACAGGACATGCCCATGTGTCTGCTCTATCTGCTCGCTGCTCTCCCCCTGCTGCATCCTCTTCTCTGACGCCTCTGCTGACTCTTGTGCTGTGCCCAGAATTCTCCCCTCCTGCTGCACTGCCAACAGCAGCACCACCAGCAGTCACCTTTCTCCTCCTACTGCTCTGCTCTAAAGAGTCACTTGGCCGCTTCCTTGTGCCACCAGCCCTGCTCATGTCCCCCGTTTTGATGCCATTCGCAACTTGTACACAGTCACAACCACCGTTACAGTCACAGTTACAGTTACAGTTACAGTCACCATGGCGGATGCCCTGACGCCTGGAAACGTCACTCTGCACACTTCCACTCCTCAGACTCACTCCGCCTGCCCCTCTTTCATCCCTCTCCAACCTGGAACCAGCAGCACCACCATAACCTTCACCCATAGCCATTCCTCCTCTACTATCGTCTCTACCGTCATCTCTACCATCGTCTTTACCATCGTCTGTACCATCGTCTCTACCATTGCTTACTCGCTGCTGTGGCTCCCCAACCCCCTCACCCACTTCCCTTGCGTTCTCCCATTCCTCCTCTTCCTTTTCCCTCGCCCCTCCTTGTCCCCTCTCCCCTCCCTCTCCCCCCTCCCCTCCCCCGCTCCCATGCCCACCACACCACACATCATCCCTCATCCTTCTTTCTGCTGCCATTGCTGCTGCCTGCACCGGACTCAACACCTTCATAATCTCACTGTCGCCGCCCAACCGCCGCCCGCCAGCTGGCATCATGATCCGCTGCTGCTGCCGCCTCCGCTCCGCCGCTGCTGCCGCTGCCTTTCTGCTTGCCACGTCAGCAGCAGACGGGGCAGACGAAGCACCAGCTACACCACGAGAAGGGGCGGCAGCGGAAAGATCCCCAAACAAGGAAGCACCACCGCCAGCAGCAGCAGTGCCTAAGCGGACTGGGCGGATGGAGGGATATCCAGAGGAGCCGAGGCGGTGGCCAGAACCCCCAAAGGGGGTTCCTGTTATGCCTCGTGCTATCAGATCATCACATTCCTGTTTACATGGGGTTATGCGTGGGGACACACACACACACACACACACACACACACACACACACACCCACACACACACACACACACAGGCAGAGGGCAGATGAACACACGATGGACAAGAGGAGCCGAGAGGGTGACGGAATCCCCCAAAGGGAGATCCTGTTATGCCTAGTGTTTTGAGATCGTCACATTCCTGTTTACATGGGGTTGTGCAAGGGAAGGGACGCAAGGAGGGCAGAAGAGCACGCAGTGGACAAGGCGAGAGAGGAAAGAATCTGGACACAGTGAACACTAGTTTTGAGACGTCTCAAGGCGAGAGAGGAAAGAATCTGGACGCACTGAACACTGAACACTCCGGAAGCACATGGTGGGGCGGACATAATAGTGTCTTGGGTTGACTCAAAACTCACGAGAGGAAAGAATCTGGACGCACTGAACACTGAACACCCGGGAAGCACATGGTGGGGTGGACATAGCACAAGGCGCTCACTGCATTAACCTCCTTCAGCAACTCGTGAAGCGGGATACACCACGTGGCTCTCACCTCATTAAGTTCGTCCAGTAGCTTGTAAAACTTGGCATCGTGGGGGCCTCGTTTGATGTGGGTGAGCTCGTGAAGCATGGTGGCCAACACATGCTGGTGGGAACTTTCAGCAGCACATGCTCATAGGGAAAGAGGGGGCACTGCAGCAGAAGAGGATACAACAAACTACTCTCACCTCATTGAGTTCGTCCAGCAGCTTGTAAAACTTGGCATCGTGGGGGCCTCGTTCGATGTGGGTGAGCTCATGAAGCATGGTGCCCAGCACATGCTCATATGGGAAGAATGAGTCTGGCTTGCCTGTTCACTCAAACCATGATGGCAGGAAAAAAAAAAAAATGAAGCATGGTGCCCAGCACATGCTTGTCTGGGAACTATCATGCTGGCCTGACTCGAATCACTTGCAGATTGTCAATAAGCATGAGCCGATGAGATGCATGGTTCCTGGTGATTCCCGACGCTTACCTGCAGGTCTGAGCCGAATTCGAATCTCTCGCCATGTTGAGACCCAGGAGTCGCGCGTTGCTAGGACTGTGGGAGGGGGGATTGAGAGAGTCAACAGCTAACCATGTCGTGAGTGTGAACGGCGGTGTGAACGTGAAATCCGTAGCATGAAAATATTCGAAATCGCATGTCATTCGATTCACACCTGAATTCAGACAGCAGAGGGACTTCCATCGCCGTCTAGGAATAATCAACTCCACCTACTTCGTTGATCGTTCCAGCAGGCTTCTCACATTAATTCACCCCAAAAACCCACATCTACTAGGGTGCACACCTGAATTCAGAAAGCAGAGGGACTTTCCATCGGCGTCGGACCATAATCGGCTCCACCTGCTTCGCCACTCGCTCCAGCAGGCTTCGCTCCTTAATCTAACTCAAAACCCACCCTGTATTAACGCGTTGAATAAGGCTCCCACCTGAATTCTGACAGCAGAGGGACTTTCCATCGGCGTCGGAGCATAATCGGCTCCACCTGTTTCACCACTCGCTCCAGCAGGCTTCTCTTTTCGAGTCGACTCAAAAGACTAACCAACCAACCTGTTTCAACGCGTCTACTAGGGTGCACATTGCACACCTGAATTCAGAGAGCAGCGGCACTTTCCATCGGCGTCGGACCATAATCGGCTCCACCTGCTTCGTCACTCGCTCCAGTCTCCTTAATCTAACGCAAACCCCACCCTGTATTAACGCGTTGAATAAGGCTCCCACCTGAATTCTGACAGAAGCGGGACTTTCCATCGCCGTCGGGCCATAATCGGCTCCACCTGCTTCGCCACTCGTTCCAGCAGGCCTCTCGCCTCGTCGCTGCGCTTCTGCCGCTTCAGCGCTCTGATCTCCCACACCATGTAAAGACTCGACGATCCCGACGCTCCATTTCCCGCTATTGGTGCCATAACTACACGCGCAACACATATACATGCAGTGACAAGTATATTTGAAAATCCCACACTTAGTAGCTCGACAGTCTCGACACTCCGTTTTCCGCTAGCTGTGTCGTAATCACGAAAATGACAACATACTCGATATCCATAAATTCGTATAGCCTACAATTCGGGGCGTGGCTTTCTTGAAATTAGTAATCAACACATCTAAAGAAGAAGCGGGATCTCGCTATTAGTGCGACTATGGGACCAGACGAATGCATAGGTGGCCCAACGGAGCTAGGAGAAACAAAAAACAGCAAGGTCATCGCCCAGCTCTGACTACGCTTGGATCGGAGACGAAACTGCTTCAAGCTGATGCCATCTTATGGTGGTGACTTGTCGTGATGTGGTGGGTGTGTGTTGGTGCTCTGGATTTGCTGCTTTTTCCTGGCAAAAATATTGCACTGCGTGCGTCAGCACGCAGTGCAATGAGTCAGCGGGCAAGGAAAAAAATAAAACCCACTCGGAAGGCGTGCCATTTGGGAGGCATCAACCCTAAAATTTTAGGGTTGAGGCTCCCGAATGGCATGGAGTCCGAATGGGTTTTAGTTTTTTCCTGCCCGCGGTCAGCATGCTGACTCACTCGGTAGCGTCGTCTAGCGGAACGGTAGCGCTACCGAGCGCCACGGACGCTACCAAGTGTAATATATTGACAGATCTTTATGAATCCCAAAAAATCCTCCTCTCCCGCCAATCCAAGCCAAACGTAGGTTCCAGACGTTGACAAACATCCTTGGCCCTGATCGGTAGCCCTTAAAGCCGTGGCCCAACTATCAACTTCAACTTCAAAGTATTATAGCTTGGAAGAGGTTGACCCAGGCAGTTCAGAGCCGAGAAGTTTGTCCTCTTCTGGTTTTCCAGTTTTTTCGTCCAATAGAATTCAAGTTACTCACATGCCATTTTTGTCCCCCTACTGTTCCTAAGAAGTTGCACCCCGCCTTTAAGCAGCTTTGGCACACACGTGTGGGCACGTGTCGCTGGGTGCTCCCAGGAAATTTCCCAGCTCACATGGGTGATCGGCACGCCCCCGAAACTGGGCTTAGGGAAGTTGCGCGGGTCGTGAGCGCGATTCCTTCGAATCACGGTTGCTTTCGGCCCAGACTGCCCCATTCGTCACCAAGAAAATGTTTTCTCAAAAAAGGGTAACCTGGGCCATAAAATGACTCGAGTCAGAACCATTTCTTGAATCCCTCACAACGCGAGTTGTGAAGGTGTTTTAGGGCGTGTCCAGCGCGTACATTTACAGTTCATAAACCCATTCAGTTACCACATTTCCTATTGTAACACTGCATTTTACAAAAAGGCTGGACACGATCAGCTTCCGTTCACAAGACGGCACGCCCGCTGCGCGTACGACGAATCGTCTAACACACGTTACTGGAATCAGTGTGCGCGCGAACAAGGGTACAGCATTGCGTCCTGCCCGCTACAGTAATTTTCGTTCAAGCGTGGAATTTTCGCTTGTGCGTGAAATTCTGTGCGATGATAGACGAGGCAACCAGTTACCTCGTTTTCCACGAACTGTAGAAATTTGTGTGCAGAGGGTTGTGTCCGCGCGCTGGAAGGCCCAATCCTTCGGACTCGACTCACCTTATATTCGTTTTTTGGTACAGTGAGATTTTTTGAGCCGGGAAACGTGTGAAGGTACTATATTCCCAAAATGTACGCTCTGGACACGCCCTTAGGAGGTTAACGTTGGCAGGTGGAAGAAAATTTTGCGGTTTTGTCGGGTTTACCCTTCGCGGGCTTACTCCGAGTAAGCGAGGCTACTCTCCCAACAAGCCAGAGTTAGTGGAGTTCCGCCGCGTAACTCAGTTTGCCCGTAAAAGAACCTTCCTGTATGGCCACTTCGAGACGTACTCCGAATAAGGTGTTGGGGCGATCGTTTGCCCCTTCTGAGTTCTCGGAGTAAGACACGTCGGATTGAGTAAACTTCCGTCACACGTGCAAAGCCGGAGTTTGTAAACTGCGTCGAAGCTCACTTACCCCGCTTAAGGGTGCTACCGATCAGGGCCCTTGTGATCGCCAGGTGGTTACTCGCCGGCGAAAGACTAGATTCGGCAGCACACAGGACCCTTCTTACGACGCAATGTTCGTGGCTTTTGACGGACAGGCAGCAATTTCCTTGTCAGCAGTGCCTTGCCCAAACTTCTTTAGGGGGGGGGACCAACCAGCTGGCCGACTGTACTAAGCCCTCAGCTTAGCACAAACCAACATCGGGGGCATGTGTGGCTCATAACGATTACACCAACCAAGTAAACGGACGGCTGGATCACTTCGATTTCGTGCACATCTTCTAGAGCTCATCGGATAACCCTGAAAAACTGCCCATCAATCAGCGTCGTGCCACATGTGAAATTTGGTATTCCAGCCCCACCCGTCCGTTCTCGGGTTGCAGTGGGCAGTGGGCACAACCTCCAGGTCCTGGCTGCCGTACGATGAAGAAATATTGTCGGCTCTACGTGTTCAGAGTACAGTTGAGAGGTTAGTTGGTTATGAGTGAGATGGAAAGCAGAATTAATGAGTCGAGGATGTTCGCTGCATGTTACCGCATACAACGACGGCAATTAATTGGGTACGAACTCCACTTCAGACGAAAAAGACGTGCGAGTCTCGCAAATTGCCGACAACACTGAAGGCTTAACGAAGGTGGGAACAGTAGCGCAGAAGACTCCACCAGCATTGGCGCTTTGCTCGACAATTCAAGCACGCACAAGACACGGAACGGAACGGAACAGAACGGAAGTCGCTTGCTCCGCTAGCATTGGCTGTTCCTAACAGCGAGCCAAGCAGCAGGAAACCAGCTCAGAACGGAGAGTTGACTCAGCAGGGCAGGCTTGCAAGTTAGGCTTCCATGCAGTAAGAGACACCAGTGCGGCACGGCATTGCTTCTTGCGATAATAATTTGACACAATTGACTTTCCTAACTTGAGCTAGCCTAAGAAATATATGCAGTGACGTCCATGCACTAATTTATGTTCACCGTTGCCCAGACATAGGCTACTCTCAAAGCGCTAAGACACACATCCGCTGTGAAGGTTTCCACTTTTCGTTCCGAAGCCACGCCTCTTAAATCTAACCTTGACTACGCCGCTTACTTATTATCTCAGTCTAATATTCTGACATAGTAATACAATGTCGAGTGCGAGTGGAATCCATACTGGTTCCTCGCAAAAGCGCACATGGCTGCTCGGTCGAGTCGGGTCTCCCGGCCCTAACGATATCTCGTGTCCCGCATCGTTGGTCGAACTCGCGTTCGGCGCGCTTATCCCCGCTGTAAGCGCTTACCACTCGCGAGAAGCCGCTAGAGTATCGCAATCTGCAGAACCGTCGGCTGTTTCTTCTGAGACGTCGCAGAGCAATGACGCTGGAGTCGCGCAAACCGCGGAGAAAGCGGAGAAAGCGGAGAAGGATGCGGAGAGACACAGTGCGCATGTGGCGTGGAAGTGCGAGCGACTGCTTCAAGTCTTGAACGCGTGCCTCTCGGAGCTTGACCCCTGGAACGATGCGGATGGAGACACAGGTAACGTCACTGTAACGGGCCATAGTATACACGCCAATAATGTTTTTAGGAACCTCAATAATAGAGTCCTCGAGTTTGACCCCTACAACAACGCGTATGGGGACACAGGTAATGTCACCGTAGACGGACCACGGTTTACAAACCATTGTTTTTTCCGTAAACCGGTATTTGTTTCCCGTGTTCGTGTGTGTGTGTGTGTGTGTGTGTGTGTGTGTGTGTGTGTGTGTGTGTGTGTGTGTGTGTGTGTGTGTGTGTGTGTGTGTGTGTGTGCGTGTGTTTTTTTTTTTTTTTTTTTTTTGCGTGTCCCCTTTGGCGCGATGCCTTCTCCGTCACGAGCAGAGGCTATTGTGGAAAATTATACAGTTTACTGAAAGACAGAGCAAATTTGCGACGCCTTATCACACGATATTGCAAAAAATATGGGGTGTACACGTCAGACAAACGCACAGTTGCCACCTACTGCGTCAATCTTCGTTCTTTAATCTCCACCGTCCATTCCGTTGCCCTTTCCGTTGTTTCTCGCAGACGACTATAATCGCAGCGCCATTGGTCAGAGCCACATGTCATCCTCTATAGTCACATCCAGTTCTATCGCCAGCAGCAGCGCGCGCGGCAGCAGTATGTGCGGCGGAAGCAGGGGGGTCCTCAGCCGCAGCGCCACCCGTCCATACCGCCCGTCCACTGGAACAGGCGGAGGGGCAGGCGGAGTGGGCGGAGGGGGAGGCGGAGGAGGGGGAAGGATCAGTGGGATTGTGAGGGCGGTTAGTTTAGGGACTGATGTGGGAACAATGGCTGTCCCCGTTCTTGGCAAACAACAGTTTCAGCAGAAGTCTGGCGGGACAACTCCTGGCGGAAACAAGAGCACGTCCCCCATACACGGTGCAGACGGTCCCGGTATAAGAACAGAGCCTTTTACTAGAGCGAGCGCTGCTGCATACGTGCAACGGTTCCATTCCCCCCAGGTAGCCTCCCCAGCCCCACCAGCAGCGGCAGCAGGAGCAGGAGCAGGAGGAGCAGGAACAGCAGGAGGAATTGCGGACACCCCTCCTCGCACGCACGTGCGCCGTCGATCAGCCGACTTGCGTTCGAACCTCTCCCTCTCGCACTCCGCCTCCGTCCCTGATGGTTCAACAGACGCTACAGACCTGAAGCACCCGGCCAGAACTGGTGGTTCGGGGCCTATTATGCCCCGCCTGCCCGCTTCTGCGTCCGTCCCAAGCGGAAGAGGAGGGGGAGCGGGAGGGGCAGGGGCAGGGGCAGGGTCTACGACGAGCAGTCCGGGCCGGGATTGGTCGGAGCAGCTGTCTGTCACTGACTCGCCTTTCCTGCCGGGTAGGTGCCACCCTCCAACCCCCCCCCTCCCCCTAGCGGACTTTTGAGTTGACTCAAAAGCCGGGATTGGTCGGAGCAGCTGTCTGTCACTGATGCGCCTTTCCTGCCGGGTAGGTGCCACCCCACAAAACCCCCCCTTCCCCCTAGCGGACTTTTGAGTTTACTCAAAAGCCGGGATTGGTCGGAGCAGCTGTCTGTCACTGATGCGCCTTTCCTGCCGGGTAGGTGCCACCCCACAAAACCCCCCCTTCCCCCTAGCGGACTTTTGAGTTGACTCAAAAGCCGGGATTGGTCGGAGCAGCTGTCTGTCACTGATGCGCCTTTCCTGCCGGGTAGGTGCCACCCCACAAAACCCCCCCTTCCCCCTAGCGGACTTTTGAGTTGACTCAAAAGCCGGGATTGGTCGGAGCAGCTGTCTGTCACTGATGCGCCTTTCCTGCCGGGTAGGTGCCACCCCACAAAACCCCCCCTTCCCCCTAGCGGACTTTTGAGTTTACTCAAAAGCCGGGATTGGCCGGAGCAGCTGTCTGTCACTGATTCGCCTTTGCCATCTCCCCCCCTTGCGTTGTCCTCCCTCCAGCTTGCCTTTTCGCTTACCTCACTCCATTTTCCCCCTTCGCTCCAGCCTCCTCCCCCTGTGTTGACCCCACTCCCGACCTCCTGACCCTGCCGTATTTGTTTTGAACTCTCCACTCCCTTCTATCCCTCCACGCTATCCCTCTCATCAGGCTCATCGTGCTTCTACCTCACAGCATACCCCTCTCTGGCGTTGGAGTGGAACGATCTCTTCTTCGCCGTTCAAGACGCCATGGCTGCCTATTACACGCTGCTGCTGCTGCTGCTGCTGCTGCTGCCCCAATCCCCCCCCTTCCGGCCCCGACTATTCCTCTCAGGTTCCTCCTGCTTCGACCTCACAGCGTGCCCCTCACTGGCACTGGAGTGGATGATATCTTCTTCGCCGTACAGGACGCCATGGCTGTGTATGACACGCTGCTGCTGCTGCTGATATGCTGCTGCCCCATCTCCCCCCTCCTCCGGGCCCCACTATTCCTCCCTCCCAGGCTCGTCTTGCTTCGACCTCACAGCGTGCCCATCTCTCGCGTTAGAATGGAATGATCTCTTCTTCGCTGTACAGGACGCCATGGCTGCGTATGACACGCTGCTGCTGGCGCCGCTGACCACTGGCGCGCTGCCACGTGGCAGCGAGGTGAAGGAGCTCCAGCAGATGGCGGATGAGCTGGCAGGCATGGCCCGGGACAGGATGAACGGCTCAGATGAGGTGAGAAATGATGATGGACGGCTCAGATGAGGTGAGAGGGATTGTGTTAGTGAGGTGCTGGATGGAAGCACCATAAGATGTTGAACCAGATTTCCCTCTCAACTCGTTCCATCGTATCTGTCTCCCTGCTCGTCAACCCTGCCTCTTTCCCCGCCTTTCCATTTCTACTCTTCCCTGCCCTGCTCTCGTTAAAACGTCTCCAGACGGTTCCCCCTTGTTCCTCTGTTTCCCCTCCCCTGCCCTTTTTCCCTTCGATTTATCACTCCAGCCCATCTTAATACGGTCCCCCCCTTTCCGCCCTGCTCCCCCATCCTCTCCCCCTCCCCCTCTTTCAGGGCGACGCCCGCCGCTGCCCCCTGCTGCTAGTTCGCCTCTTTGCTCTGCGGGTGAAGCACTCCAAGGGACCTCATTACAGCTCCAAGGCACCTTATCCCCTTTTTCCGCCCCTTCCCTCCCCTCCCCTCGTCTTTCAGGGCAACGCCCGCCGCTGCCCGCTGCTGCTGGTGCGCCTCTTCACCCTGCGGGTGAAGCAGGAGACGCAGCAGCTGCTGACCGTGTTTCCAGAGGCTAAGGACGAGGAACAGCAGACACAAGATGAGGGGGCGAAGGGCGAGGAGGGTGAAACGAAGGCAGAGGGTGCAGCAGGGGTAGTAGAGCAGGCAGCAGAGGGAGAAGGAGAGGGGGGAGCAGAGGGGGTGGCAGGAGCAGCAACTGAGAATGGTGCCAGTGAGAACTTCAAAACTCGCAAGCTTCAGCAGCAGCAGCAGCAGCAGCTAAGCGGGAAACAGCAGCAGACGGCAAAGAAACGGCAGCAGCAACAGCAGCAGCAGGTGCAGCAGGTGCAGCAGTTGCAACATCTCCAGCAGCAAGCCGCCTCCTCTCTCCTCACAGAGATCTCAAACGAGATAGAAGAAGTCTTCTCAGCCTGTAAAGGCTCCCTGTACGGCCTTGGGATCACCCACGCTCGCTCCCTCTCTCGCCTTTCACTTCTGGGAAAGGCCATTCGCGCAGCAGCAGAGGGGGCAGGAGAGGAGGATCTCACGGTTTTGAGGGATAACCAGGAGTTGGGAGGGGTTCAGAGGAAGGTGGGTGGAGAAGCGGTGGGGGCAGCTGGGGAGGGTGTATCTGTGTGTAGGGATGGGCAAGGGGAGGCTGTATCTGGTGTGGGGGGAGGGGGTGGGAGGAGGGAGGTGCCTCTGCTGGTGTGTCCTCAAAACGACTGGGCGAGGCTGAGTGCTGAGTGTGACAATAACGAAGGGGGCGCGTTAAAGGAGGTGATTGTGTGGGAAGACGGGATGGGAGAGCTGCGAAATCTGTTCAAATCAGCAGCAGCTGCCACTGCTGCTGCTGCTGCTGCTGCTGCTGCCGCTGCTGCTCCTAGTCCTGCTGGTGCCGCTGCTGGTGGTGGGTTCAGTAGTGGGATGTTTTCAGGGAAGGAGGAGGGGGAGGATGAGGGTAGCAGGGAAGTATCACCCAGGTCGCCTAGAGGGCCCTTGGCTCGAGATGACGAGAGCAGGAAGAGCAGCAGCGGTGGCAGCACCGCTGGCAGACCTGCAGCAGCCTCACGCTCGTCTACTTATCATGGTAAGGATGGTGGGTTCAGTAGCGGGATGCTTTCAGGGAAGGATGAGGGGGAGGATGGTGGGATCAGCAGCAGGGAGGTGTCACCAAGGTCGCCTAGAGGGCCCTTGGCTCGAGATGACGAGAGCAGGAAGAGCAGCAGCGGTGGCAGCACCGTTGGCAGACCTGCTGGCAGCTCACACCCGTCTGGTTGCCATGGTAATCACGCTTCTGTGACTTTTGATTCGACTCAAAAGTCACGCCCGTCTGGTTACCATGGTAATCACGCTTGTCTCGTATTATTAGTTGGCTCATGCCCGTCTTGTTACCATGGTAATCACGCTTGTCTCGTATTATTAGTTGGCTCATGCCCGTCTTGTTACCATGGTAATCACGCTTCTGTTCACACCCCTCTTTGTGTCTAATCTTATCGTATGAATCATTCCTTTTCTCTCCTGTTTATCCTACTACTCACCTTTTTCCTCACCTTATTCTCACCCTTCATTCACCCTTCTCACCCTTCTATTCACCCTTCTCACCCTTCTCACCCTTCTATTCACCCTGCTTCTCACCCTTCTATTCGCCCTACTCACCCTTCTATTCACCCGTCTACTCACCCATCTACTAACTCCCCTCAGCATACAGGGGCATCTTTTTCCATGGCTCAAGGCAGCAGTCGCCCCTCCCAGCGCCTGTGCTCACACTTTTTGAGACCTCAAGAAAAGACCCATTTCCTCACCCATCTATTCACCCGTCTACTCACCCCTCTATTCACCCGTCTACTCACCCATCTACTCACTCCCCTCACCATGCAGGGGCATCTTTGTCCATAGCTCAAGGCGGCAGTCGCCCCACCCAGCGCCTGTGCTCGCAGATCTTATTAGATCGCATATCAGATCTGATTTGGTACACCAAGTGGGTGGGGTGTATCGACCCTGACGATCTCCCACTGGCGTGTATCCCCTCTGTAGTGCCGGTCACCATGCTTCTTAACGAGTTGGGGGCGCCTAGGTCCAAGGAATCGGATCTGCTCATGTGTCACCGCTCTGAACTCCTCCATCTCGTCCTCCCGGATTTTCGGGATAAAGTGCAGCAGCGATTGGTGGAGGGGGAGTTGGGTTGGATGAGTGAGGGTGGTGGGGTAGGAGGAGGGGTAGGAGGAGGGGTAGGAGGAGGGGTAGGAGGAGGGGTAGGAGGAGGGGTAGGAGGTGGGGTAGGAGGAGGGGTAGGAGGAGGGGTAGGAGGAGGGGTAGGAGGTGGGGTAGGAGGAGGGGTAGGGAGGGAGAGAGGGAGAGCAGCAGCAGTTAACGTTAGGGTTTCCAAAGCCGCAGCTGCCGCTGCCGCCGCCGCCGCCGCCGCCGCTGCTGCTGCTGCTGCTGCTACGGCTTCAAGTGGTGCCGGCACCCCCACTGGCCGATCGAACCTTCCCGGCACTCCCACCACCCCTTCTGCTGCTGCTATAGCAGCCCAACGGGAAGGGAAAATAGGCGGGCAGATCGGGAGCACCATATATGAGAGCGGCCGAAGCGACGCCACAGGTTCGGACGGAAGCAGCTTCAGCTTCGGCAAGCTGTCCGGCCGAGCCTCCGATCGAGCCTCCGACCGAACCTCCTGCCCGACCCCGGGCCTGGCTCACCCCACTGCCAACCCCTGGGCACGCATGGGGGGAGGCTTCGGAACAGGAGCAGGAAGCGTGAGCATGAGCATGGGGATGGGCATGGGGATGGGGATAAGCATTGGAGTGATGGGTGCGGGACTGTCCCGGCAAATCCCTTTGGAGGAGATTCTAGCAGCAACAGACTCGTGGGATCCGAGGCGAAAGCTTGGGGAGGGCGGATTCGGGTGTGTTTATAGAGGGGACGCTGCTAACGGGGAGGTGTGGGCGGTGAAGCGTGCGAACACGGTTTCAGATGAGCAGCTGGAGGAGTTTGAGAAAGAGGTGAGAATCCGTGGAGTGCGGTACGGATGGATGAGGTATACAAGAGGTATGTATGAGGTACGGATGAGGTGATCATGAGGTGAACAATGAGATCTCTCTGCCACTCCTTGCCACTCCTTGTCCTCCCACGTCACAACTTGGCACCTTGCTCTTGTGTACCACCACTTGACACCCTATTCATGTGCGGTCCCCCACCTCCTTGTGACCCTGTTCATGTGCGGTCCCCCACCTCCTTGTGACCCTGTTCATGTGCGGTCCCCCACCTCCTTGTGACCCTGTTCATGTGCGGTCCCCCACCTCCTTGTGACCCTGTTCATGTGCGGTCCCCCACCTCCTTGTGACCCTGTTCATGTGCGCCCCCCCATTCCCAGGTGTCATTCATGAGTCGCATGGCCCATCAGCACTTAGTGCGACTCATAGGCTTCTGGGCGGACTGTGACGAGCGAATTCTCATTTACGAGTACATGCACCACCCACGGCATGCTTAGAAAGGGAAGCTTTGAGACGTCTCAAAACTTCACTTTCTACACGGGGATTCTCGTCTACGAGTTCATGGACAGCGGCACCCTCTCCTCGGCGCCTCCACCCTCTCATCATCACTTTGTACCCTGCTCCTGTGTGCTGCCGTTCCCCTCTGCTTCTCCCTCCCTTGCCCTCCGCTTCTCCCTCCCTTCCCCTCCGCTCTCCCCTCCCTTCTCTCTCCCTTCTCCCTCCCTCCTCCCTTCTCCCTCCTCCCTTCAGGTGTCATTCATGAGTCGTATGGCCCACCAGCACCTAGTGCGACTCATAGGCTTCTGGGCGGACTGTGACGAGCGAATCCTTATTTATGAGTTCATGCACAACGGCATGCTCTCCTCCCACCTGCACACTGTCTCACCACTTCCTACCCTTCTCCTGTGTGCTGCTCCCTTCCCCTCCTCCCCACTCCCTCTCCCTCTCTCCCTTCCCATCCTCTCCCTACTCCCTTCTCCCTCCCTTTTCCCTCCCCCCTCCTCCCTCTCCCAGGTGTCATTCATGAGTCGCATGGCTCATCAGCACCTGGTGCGACTCATAGGCTTCTGGGCGGACTGTGATGAGCGAATTCTCATCTACGAGTACATGCACAACGGCATGCTCTCCTCACGCCTCCACCGCAGCGCCTCCCACCTCGCCTCCTCCCACCCGTCCTCCGAAGCCCACGCCAAAGACAACAAGCCTTTCTTCAAGCTCTACCCCTCGTCTGCCTCGACAAGCAAGGCTGCTTCTGCTGCTGCTGCTCGTGCATCGGACCTCCCACCTCCTCTGACGTTTGATGAGAGAGTGAGCATCGCTGTAGGGGCGGCGGAGGGGTTGCGATACCTGCACGATTTTGCTGCAGATTCTGTGATCCACCGCGATATCAAATCAGATAATATCCTCCTTAATGATAAGCTCCAGGCAAAGATCGCGGATTTCGGGCTGCTAAAATCGGCTGATATGGGCGGCGGGGGAGGGGGTGCTGGCGGGGGGGTAAACCACACCCGGCTCATGGGTACCCCGGGGTATTGCGATCCAGAATACTCTAAAACCTACATCGCATCCGCTAAAAGTGATGTTTATAGTTTCGGCGTGGTGCTTTTGGAGTTGATTTCCGGGCAGCGGGCGATTTTATCTGAGAATAGGAAGAAAGGTTTTGCAGGCAGCATGGCTGCTCTGCTGTGGCTGAGACCGGGAGTGGGTGGGAAGACGCAGCAGCAGAAAGAGATGGAGATGCTGGGCTTTAAGAAGAACAAGAAATCGAGCATGCGGGCGATAACAACGCTTGTCAGCTGGGTGAGTGTCTGCTTTCGTTGATATCATTTCAGTCACCGTTCTTTACTTTTCTACGATGTATGTCATGCAGTTTTGGCATAGCATTGTAGTCTCAAGGTCTTCCCTTGTCTCCCTCTCTCTCTCCCGCCCCTCCCCGTCTCAGTAGTCGACCCAGTCCTGGCGAACAACCACCCCCGCTCAAGTTCGCTCCTTGTCTCCCTCTTCCCTCTCCCCACCTTTCCATCCAGGCCATTCCTCTGATCGCAGCAGGCAAGCTCAAGTCAGTAGTCGACCCAACCCTCGAAAACAGCTACCCCTGTTCAAGCCTGCCGACTCAACGTCTTCCCTTCCTCGCTCTGTGCTGTGCCTCCCCTCATTCCCCATCATCCAGGCCATTCCTCTGATAGCAGCAAGCAAGCTCAAGGCTGTAGTCGACCCTGCCCTCGAAAACAACTACCCCTGCTCAAACCCGCCGACTCATCGCCTTCCCTTGTCTCCCTCTTCCTCGCTCTGTGCTGTGCCTCCCCTCGTTCCCTTCCATCCAGGCCATTCCTCTGATAGCAGCAGGCAAGCTCAAGTCAGTAGTCGATCCAGCCCTCAAAATCAGATACTCCTGCTCATACCCCTGCTGAAGTTTGTTTCTCTCTCGCACTCCCCCTCCTTCGCTCCCCTCCCTTCCACCAGGCCATTCCACTCATAGCAGCAGGCAAGCTCAAGTCAGCAGTCGACCCAGCTCTTGTAAACAACTACCCCTGCTCAAGTTTGTCCCTTGTCTTCCTCTTCCTCTCCCACCCTCCCACACACTTCTCCATCCAGGCCATTCCGCTGATAGCAGCAGGCAAGCTAAAGGCCGTGGTCGACCCTAACCTGTCTCTGGCCTCCCTCTCTCGCACCCCCTCCCCCACCCTTCCCTTCCCTCCCTCCAGGCCATTCCTCTGATAGCAGCAGGCAAGCTCAAGGCCGTGGTCGACCCAGCTCTTGAAAACAGATGCTCCTGCTCATAACCCTGCTGAAGTTTGTTTCTCCCTCTCCCTCTCCCCCACCCTTCCCTTCCCTCCATCCAGGCCATTCCGCTGATAGCAGCAGGCAAGCTCAAGTCTGTGGTCGACCCAGCTCTCGAAAACAACTACCCACCGGGAGCAATGAAAGCCCTTGCCAGCGTAGCAGCCATGTGCGTCCAAAAGACTGCCGCCCAGCGGCCGACCATGGCTGAGGTGGCAACACGTCTGTCTGCCATCCAGCACAAGGTGCAAGACCTGCACATCCAGGGGGAAGAGCCCAAGTATAACTTCCAACCCACACTTGCCGGCCCCTTACCTACTTCTGCCTCTACTGGCGGTGGTGCTGCGGCTGCTGGTGCTGCTGCTGGTGGTCCTGTTGCTGGTCGGTGGGGGAGTGGGGGAGGTGGAGGGAGTGGGGGAGGAGGAGGAGGAGGGAGTGGAGGGGGAACAGGAGGGTCTGGGCCAGGCAGTAGCAGAAGCTTCAATCGGACGGTGTCGGCACCTGCTGACCAGGCAGGGGTTGGGAGTGGAAAGGAGAAGAAGAAGCATAGGTACCAAGAGGTGGGCCGGCCGGTAGGGAGCAAGGAGGGGAAGGAAGAGAGTGGGAAGGAGGGTTCGGTTGGGAAAGATGGAAAAGGCAAGGGTCTGTCGAGACGAGAATCGACTAAAAGTGGGAGTAAGTCTAGTCTGCCTCTTCTTTCTGCTGGTGATGCTGTAGAGTTTAGCTCGCAACATGTTACCACCAGATACTTGGGTGGGGCGTTTTGACTACCTTATGTCTGTAAATTTCTTGCGTAGTACATCGTGTGATGACCAAATATAATTCCTCATGAACGGCCGGTTGGAATTGGCCTACTTTTGTTATATGGTGACTCTTGCTCACACTAAGAGTTGGGATTGGTTGGCGGTATTGTTGAGTACGCTTAATGTAATATATATACGGTATAACACAAGCAGGATACACCCGTGTAAGGAAAATTCGTTTTCCTTACTTCGCGTCCTTGCTCAGCGCGTACACCACTGTTTCCCGCCAACATCACCCAACAACAATCTGTTACCACTCGCGACACTCGCCTCTACACTATCCCCGCCACTGTTCACAACGCGGCCCAACCTCACGGTTCGGTTGGTAACCCGCGCTCCGGACCTCCGCCTCGACAATTCCCAACCTCGGCGCTAGGCCCGTCGCGCACCCCAATTTCCACACATTACCGTTACCACCATACTTTCTCTATATATTCTTCTCTCATTCCTTCGCTCATTGTATTCTTGCTTCTATAGTGCAATACTCGCTCGCTCACACAATTGCACTCGTAACAACCAGCCAAAATAGGAACCTCCTGTCCCGTTCTGATTTTTGTCGAATCAAACGAATTGATGGCTGGGTCCGTATGAATGAACCATCCATCAGCTCTGGTACAGTGATAGCATTTCAGCCGCTCGTTCGCGATGTGTGGCCAACGAGTTCAGGTTTTACGAAGCTTGCAATTGCACATGTATGACCTATTCTATCTAATGGTCACGAATTTATCACGTGACGTGGCTCTCGAACTTTTCGGCCGTGATGGGGAATCTAGAGACTCGAATGATTTGTCACATGGGCGAACAATGGAAACTGAATCCACGGGTTTGGGTTTCTGGAAGGAGGACAAATCTAGTAGCCTCATCCGTATCTACGCCCGATCGAAGGCTCACAACTTTCCCGCCAACGGCAGCTTCCTGTCTGCGCGGCCGAATGCTCGCGTGGGAAAAGATGCAAAAAGATCCAGGAAGTAGCATATGTTTTTTGTTTTCTTATCGATCTTGTCCAAACGAAAACAAAAGAGGATATCGCATTTCGGCGTAAATACGCTCACAAGTGCTTGATAAACCAAACCAGATTGCCTTTATACAACATGTAAACACATTGGTGATATATTTTGGTAAATACAAATGCTTCGTGATCATTATTTCAAAGTGGACCAGAAACCCCAGATTTCCTTCCTCCCACCAGCTCAACTTCCCAAATCCTGTCCATCAGTCTCACCCGCACAGCAGCATCTTTGCCGCGCTGGTGCAACAATCCACTGTACGGCACTGCCAGTCATGAATCCCACAACTTCTCTTCCTGCACTTCCCATTTGACAGAGGTGGTGTGTTATACAAGACTCGCACATTTGAAGCGTCGTCTCTAGGACTTTCAAGGAATGGAAACTCGTGGTGTGTTTTTGGAACCAATGAGATATTTTTTCAACGACACACAAACGCATGCTGAGAAGCAAGCAGTTCTTTTGTAATGTCTGCACTATCTGCCAGATCATCTGGATCCGATAGTAGTGCACTATCTGCACTACGTAGAGGCGGCGCTGCGGCGTTTTAAAACCTCTCGGAGTGATTCTTGCTACTCGGTAAACCTTAATGGATCCGCTCAGTCTTTCCCGTTAACTACTAAAGGCTTGTTTGTCCTAGCGCAAGTGAACATTCACTTCCATTTCCATCTCAGATTATAAACTGATCTTGGAATAAGCCGTCCGAACCAGCAATGGACGCTCGTTGCCGTACGATCCGGGATGGCGACGTGGCGAACAGCCAGCCTCAGAACACCAACAGCAGTCCCAGCCTACCTCCTCGTACTAACCACCCGCACTCACACTCCCCACTCGCAACCTTCCCTTCCTCTTCCGGAGTATCCTTATCAGCGGTTCCCTCCTCCCTCTCCCCCCTCCCTCTTTCCTCCTCACTCCCTCCTCTCCCTCTCTCCTCCTCGCTTCCCCCACTCCCTCTTTCCTCTACCTTTCCCCCATTTCCCCCTCCCTCCACCTTACCCTCCTCCTCTCACCACCTCCTACCCAACTGGTGGTGCGGCCACCACACGGCCAATCAGAGCTCGCCATTTGTCAGGCGACCGCTTTCCGTAAGCCCCCCAGGCCTCCCCCTTGTCCCCCCGTCCGGATCCATTGGAGAAAGGGGGAGATCAGGCGGAATGGAAGGGGAGGGGATGGGAGGGAGAGAAGAGGGAACGTTAGGGGAGGAAGGGCAAGGAGGAAGGGGAGGAAGAGGAGAGGGAGAAGGGGATGAGGAAGAAGAGCAGGTTATAAGCATCAAGCCGATGAGATCCTGGGCCCCTTCCGTCAATAATGAGAACCAGAACCAGCAGCGGCGTCACCAGCAGCAGCAGCAGAATCTGGAGCCTATGGGTTCTGGATTTGTGCGTGCTCTTTCAGTCAGCCGCTCATTTCCATTCCACGGGGCCGGCGCTTCAGGTGCTACACCAGCAGCAGCAGCAGCAGCAGCAGCAGCAGCAGCAGCAGCAGCAGCAGCAGCAGCAGCAGCAGCAGCAGCAGCAGCAGCAGCAGCAGCAGCAGCAGCAGCAGCAGCAGCAGCAGCACCAGCAGCAGCAGCAGCAGCAGCAGCAGCAGCAGCAGCAGCAGCAGCAGCAGCAGCAGCAGCAGCAGCAGCAGCAGCAGCAGCAGCAGCAGCAGCAGCAGCAGCAGCAGCAGCAGCAGCAGCAGCAGCAGCAGCAGAAGCACCAGCAGCAACAGCAGCAACTAAGTCAGCAGCAACAGCAGCAACAGCAGCAGGAGCAATCAAATCAGACGACGCAACGGGAGCAGCAGCAGCATTGGAGGCTGTAACGGAAACAGCAACAGAACTGGGGCTAATGGGGAAGATTCCTGAAGATTCTCCGGGAGACAGGGAGAAAGACAGGGAAGTTCAAGGAATGGAAACTCGCTGGGGTTTGGGTGCTGGGCTGGGAGGCTCACCACTTGCCCTAGGGCCTGCTCTTCTTGCCCGAGCCGGAGGAGCAGGTTCGGGAAGGGAGCCGGGATCTTCAGCTGGAGCGGGTCCATCTGGGGGAGGCGGTACTGAGAGGGTTCTGTTCAGGGAGACTCAGGTGTTTCCGATGGCAGTGTATAAAGAGCCTGAGTTTTCACCTGGGCCAGGTGCATCCAGGGGAGGCGCCACTGAGAGGGTTCTGTTCGGTGAGACTCAGGTGTTTCCGCTGGCGAAAACTCACAGCCCTCTCTCAGGCTTCCTTGCACCGTTGGCCGGTGGGAACGAGAGCGGCGGTGCTGCTGCTGGTGGTGGCGGCGGCGGTGCTGATTCAGGTGGCGGTGGCAGTGGTGGTGGTGGTGCTGCTGCTGTTGCTGCTGCAGCAACGGGTGCTGGTGCTGCTGCTGCTGTTGCTGCTGCAGCAACGGGTGCTGGTTCTGCTGGTGGTGGTGGTGCTGCTGCTGCTGCTGCTGGTTTTGCTGGTGCTGCTGCTGCTGTTGCTGGTCGTGCTGCTGCTGGCGGCGGTGTTTCTATGGGCGATGGCACTGGCGGCAGCAGAGGTGACGCTGTTGGTGCTGGGGAAAGGGCAGGAGCAGGAGGAGGAGCAGGGTTGACGGAGCTTGGAGTGGGGTTATCAGGAGGAGGGTTAGCTGGAAGGGGTACGTTAGTAGGAGGGTTGTTGGGGGGAGGAAGATCAGGAGGAGGGTCACTAGGGGGAGGTACATCTGGAGGAGGGTTGCTGGGGGGAGGTACGTCTGGAGGAGGGTTATTAGGGGGAGGCCTATTCGGAGGAGCAATGCCGCCAGGAGGACAGGCTCAGTTCCCGGACCTCAGCACGCAGCTGGGCCTTAGGTTCGGGCTCTCTGCTTCGGCCGGACCTGACTCGGACAGGAGAGACGGAAATAGGGATGGGACTAGAGGCGGGACAATGGAAGGAAATACGGATAGAGATAGAGACAGGGACAGAGATATGCTCACAGATGGAGGCAGGCCGCCAGAGAGCATTGAGTATGAGAGCCGGGAACTAGCCAGAGCGGTGCAGCAGAACAGAATACTAGAAGAGGAGATCGTACGGCTGCAGGTGCAATCCTGGGAGCTTAAGGAGCAAAACCAGGAGCTGCATTCGCGGGTGGTTCGGATGGAAAATACCATGAAGTATAGGGAGCAGAGAGGGGTTGGTAGCGGTGCGGGAGGGTGGGTGCAGCCGCAGCTTCAGCGGATGGAGAATCAGGTGGTGGTGCTGACGGGGCGGGTGCTGCAGTTGCAGCAGCAGAACCGCGCGGCTAAAGGGGAGATTGAGAGGTTGAGGAAGGAGTTGGATGCGGTGAGGGGGAAAGGGGTGGCGGAGGGGGGAAGGGGAGGGGGAGGGGGAGGGGGAGGGGGAGGGGGAGGGGGAGGGGGAGGGGGAGGGGGAGGGGGAGGGGGAGGGGGAGGGGGAGGGGGAGGGGGGAGGGGGAGGGGGAGGGGGAGGGGGAGGGGGAGGGGGAGGGGGAGGGGGAGGGGGGAGGGGGAGGGGGAGGGGGAGGGGGAGGGGGAGGGGGAGGGGGAGGGGGAGGGGGAGGGGGAGGGGGAGGGGGAGGGGGGAGGGGGAGGGGGAGGGGGAGGGGGAGGGGGAGGGGGAGGGGGAGGGGGAGGGGGAGGGGGAGGGGAAGGGGACAGGGGAAGCGGAGGGAGGGTTGGAGGGGGGCGGATGGGGAAGGGTGAGTGGGGAAGGGAGGGGATGAAAGTGGAGGGGGAGAGGGTTGAGATGGATGTGAGTGGAATGGGAGGAGGAGGAGGAGGGAGAGCTATGGGTGGAGAGGGAAGACTGTGTGAAAGGGTGACTGGGGGGATGAGGAGCAGAGGGAAGGAGCAGAAGGGCACGGTTTTGCAGGGAAGTAAAGCTGCTGTTGGTGCTGTTGGTGCTGGTGGTGGTGATGTTACCGCTACCGCTGCTGCCACCACTGCTGCTGCTACCGGTCCTGCTGATGTGGATGTTGCTGGTGCTGGCGATGCTGCTGCTGTCGCTGGTGCAGCTTCTGTAGATGCTGGGGGTGGGAATGCTCCTGATGCTGCTGATCCTGGCAATGCTGTTAGAGATATTGTCACGGATCCTCCTGCTTCTGCTTCTGCTTCTGCTTCTGCTTCTGCTTCTGCTACTGCTTCTGCTTCTGCTGGTCCTGCCGCTGCTGCAGCTCCAATCACCACTGCTTTAGCAGCCTTGAATGTTCATGCAGAGGTGAGCAGGGCAGGGGGGAGAAGCACGGGGGAGGGGAAGAGGGGAGGGATGCTAGGGAAGCGAGAAAGGGAGTCTCACGAAGAGGGGGAGGAGGAAGAAGAGGAGGGGGGAGGTGGGCCAACCTGAATATCTTTGTCACTATGGTGTCGACTCAAAAGTCACCTTGAGCGGTGTGTTGTAGAGGCGAAAAAGGGAGCCTCATGATGAGGAGGAGGGGGGAGAAGAGGAGGAGGGTGGTGGGCCAACCTGAATATCTTTGTCACTATGGTGTCAACTCAAAAGTCACCTCTAACAGGGTGTGGCAGAGGCAGGAATGGGAGTTTCAAGAGGAAGGGGAAGGGGGGGACGACAAGAAGGAGGTGGTGTCTGATTCGATCATTCGACTCAAATTTTACCTCGAACGGGGTGTGATGGAGGTGGGAAAGGGAATTTCAAGAGGAAGGGGAAGGGGGGGGGGGGGGGAAGAAGAGAAGGAGGGTGGGGTCCCAACCTGAAAATACTAGGTGCTTTCTGATTCTACACAAAGGATACCTTTCGAAGCGGCGCTAGGGAAGCGAGGAAAGGAGTCTCAGGAGGAGGGGTGGTGTGGTGCGGGAGGAGGAGGAGGAGAGAGGCGAGCCGACCTGAATAACCTGGCGACAGTGGTGTCGACTCAAGAGGCACCTTGAGCGGGGAGTCTGAGGCTGAGGAGGGATGGGGGCGGAGGAGGAGGAGGAGAGAGGTGGTCCGACCTGAATGACCTGGCGACTGTGGTGTCGACTCATAAGCAATCTTGAGCGCGGTCCGACGGAGGCAAAAAAGGCAGTCTCGGGAGGAGGGGTGGTGGGGGAGGAGGAGGGAGGTGGGCCGAATCGAACTGCTTCTGCGGCAAAGCATGTAGCAGGAGGGACGGTGCAGCCGATGGGAGGGTGCAGCAGAAGGGAGGGTGCGGCAGAGAGGAGGGTGCTGTAGAGAGTAGAGTAGAGGGTGCAACAGAGGCTGGAGTATGCAGCTATCAGGTTAGTGTGTTAACGGTCAGAGTGTCTCACTTGGCTGGTGGGATCAGATGATGCAGACGGGAGTGCAGTTAGAGAGGGTGCAACAGAATGGAGGGTGCAGAGAGTAGATTCGAGGGTACAACAGAAGCTAGAGCATGCAGCTATCTGGTTAGATTGTCTCACTTGGCTGTTGGGATCAGGTGTTGCAGACGGGAGTGCAGTTAGAGAGGGTGCAAGAGAGGCTGGAGCAGAAACTTGCAGTTGTGGTGTGATATGTCCTGTACGTGTAACTGTTACTCTTGCACTTCGTTCTTGCTGTGTTTGTATTCATATAATATAGTTTTTGCTGCAAGGCGTGTTCACTCACTAGTGCAGTGTGCCTTTAGAATAACTTTCAGAATTCGTCTTCATTGATGATTGTTGGGGTTTTGGGGTCTGGTGACTTTAGAGTCTACTCAGAATTCGATCTGTCGTGATTGCTGGGTTTCGGGGTTGTTCCACGTCTACCTCCCTGTGAGACAGGAAGAGCTCTAGCGATGCTACATACCGGTATAGCAATTGTGTGGACGTGGTGAGGCAAATGGGTGCGAATGAAACGAATCCAAGTGCATTAAGTGGGCTGTTGTCGTTGCAACCAGGAAACTTGGTGGACAATGTGTTGGGTTATAGGTTACGGTAAAAGGAAAAAGCATAGGGAGAACCCCTTTGGTGTTACGGTACCGTACCTGTTGCATCTCACAGTAGGTCATGATAACATCTTTCACGTGATGATAGTGTATTTTTTAAACGCATCAAGAATACACTCTAATTATACGATAGGCCATGACGTCATTCTCCATCACGTCTCCATCCGCAATGTTGGCCAGTGCCAATTAGGCATTGGTTGTCTGACTCTGAATTCATATGGGGGTGGTACACACTTTGATTAAGCCCACATTGTTTCACACCCACGGTGCAGGTGGAGCGTTTGGTGGCGTGGGTATCAATGCATGGTTAGTGAGAGTCCCCTCCCCCCCCCCCAGGGCTGTTTTTATCAAGGAACTTACCCTGATTTCAGGGTGATTTCAGACATCTCAACCTGTGATGCCTCAGAATTAACGAGTTTCCGACACTGATCTTGTCAGAGTAATAGTTTAGGGGACCCTGTAATATTGTATACACTGTCAGAGTAGTGTTCTTACGGTCCCTGTCAATACAGAGTACGAATCCTGTGGACCCTGAATGAGACATTATCGGGACGAAGGTTCCCGGAAACTTCGTACGAGTACCCCTCATGTGCGTAATCCTTATTTTCCTTGTACCCATGTGAGGGAGCCCTTTCACGCGCAGAACTGACGTAATACCGACAAGTATCACTACGCGGTGCTGTACAGCGTCGTTGTACAGCACAGCTGTCAACTTTGACAGCGCAATCAGAATAATGATTTTTGCTGCCACACGCACAGCGCAAAGCACAGTATGTGTCCCTCATTGGCGAGAGACGCATGTTGGCTGTCGGCGCTGGCAGTCATCCAGACCTTCAATGTATCCGGCCTTGCATGAAGGGCCGAATACATTGTCGACTCGAGGTTTCCACCATCGAGCCATCAATTTCGTGGCGATGCGGAGGTTTCTTGCTGACCCCATCTTCTCGGACGATCTCTTGCTTCCCCCTCCCAGCCAGGGTTCTGGAGGTGCTGCTGTTATTTTCATTTCTTTCATTCATTCTCGAAGTATCTCTTGCTCCCCCTCTCTCAGCTTCTTGCCGCCATGGACGGGATGCAGGCCGACGACGATGCTCCTCAGGCTGGCTCAGATGAGCCACCAGAACCAGTGAAACCTACGGAGCCTACCCAGCCAGAGAAAGCTTCTGATGCCCGTCGCTCTGGGCTCGATTTTCTTAGATCTAGCGCTGCTCCAGCTACACCTGATCCTCCTGGGTCCATCGTCCATGACTCTGCAGCGAGGGAAACTAGTGCTCCGACCAATTCTCTCCGTCCCAAAGCTTTCACTTTACCCCCAGCTGTTGCTTCTTGCAGTAAAGCCCCCCCACCAGCCGCGCCAAGTCCCACAGCAAGCACGGTGCAGTACGCCGTCGGCTACCTCCTGCCCAAAGAGAGCGCGATCTGGCAAGTGGGCGCAGAGTACCCTGCTCATCACTGGCCGCCGTGTTCCTGCGCCTGACAACCCGGCTGATCTACCACCTTATATCCCCGACAACCCGTAGTCAGATGATATCCCTGTCTGCACGGACACCGGCTCGCCCGCTCTCTCGAAGATGGAGCTGAGAGAGCAGATGTACCTGAAGGCAAGTATTAATTACGAGACAAAGTGGTCGGGTATGTTTTCGTGGCTTGTCTTTGGAAAAAAAAAGGATGGCTTCCCCTATGTTAAGTGCAGCGTCTACATGTCGTACGGGAAGGAGAACACGCGCTACGCCAGGCCAGGTGATGACGGTGGCCGTGACTTGCAGGCGCAGTCGTTCCGGGCTCATGAGCACACGGACACTTACAAGGCGGCGATTGAGCGGCAGATCAAGATTGCGAAGGGCATCACCAACGGACAGCAAGTGATTTCAAACTTCATCAACTCGGACATCGAGGGGAGGCGCGATTCGACTCATGCGGTCGGTTCAGTTTCTGTGCCAGTGTGACACGCCGATCAGCATGTTTCCAAAACTGATGCGGCATCTCGCGGAGCAGGATATGCCTGACATTTCGAGGCAATCTTACGGGGTGTATCTCACTAGGTAAGAACAATTTTCGTGGATTGTTTATTTTCTTATTGTGCGTTTAGTGTTTCCTTTAGTTGTTACTAACATGTTGTCTTACAACCATGTGCAGGTATGGTTTCCAGCAGATGGTTCACAGCATCAGTACCTACCTCACGAGGGTGCAGATGGACCACATCCAAGCTTCCCCATTCTTGGGCCTCAGTTGCGACGAGAGCACCGACCGGACACGAGGGAAACACATGATTGTTTACCTCACCTTTATGAAGAATCGCCGAGTCGTCACTGAGTTATTCACCCTGCTGACAGTTGAGAAATGTGATGCAGCGTCCCTGTTCAAGGTGCTCTTGAACCATCTCCGCTGCTCAGCCGTCGATGTGTCCAAGCTTGTGGGAGTCAGTACGGACGGGGTGTCGGTCATGTTGGGGAAGGACAACGGTTTGGTGGCGCGGATTCGGGAACACGTCCCGCATCTCTTTTCATGTCACTGTATCGCCCACCGGTGAGTTTTTTAGACGTATGGATGAGCAGTACATGACAATTGTTCTAATTAAATGTCTTGTGTTATGTCCCTTGTCTTCTACAGGGAGGCTATGGCTGTGAAGTGTTGGAGTAGGCTAGAGCTCGCTCTGGCATTTATCATTGTGTTCTTTTGTTATTTCGCCATGTTTAGAGCGGGTTCCACTTTCGGTTCAGTTTAGGTCCATTTCTTAGTTTCTAGCACAAAATGAACACACTCTAAGTTCAATTGGGGTTTCCTACATTTGTATCTCAACACCCTAAGTTCAATTGTAACAATTCTCTCGCTACCTTCTCTCTCCCTAGCCATGGCTACCAAATTCTCAGCTTTAGCATGGTATCAGAGTCAAATCTTTGGCGTTTTGTCCCAATCTATATCTCTTAGTACGGTCTAGGCCTTAGGCATCCGACGCGCCACTGTTTACATAGTCGAATTTCGTTTTCCCTACTATTTCGACCCTCAAATTTCCCCCTTTTTTTTCAATCACGGAACCTTCTATCCGTCGCCCGCGTCCTCCCTGCCTAGTCGCGCGCCCTGTCCCGTCATCGCGCCGCCCTCCCCCTGCCCCGCCTCGTCGCGCGCCCTACCCACCACCGCGTCGCGCGCCCTGCCCGTGGTCGACGGGTGCGGCCTCCCCGCTGTCGACGCGCGCGGCCTCCTTGCCGTCGACGCGCGCGGCCTCTCTGCCGTCGACGCACGCGCGCGTTTTGCCCACCGCCCTCCCTCTCCGCGGCCAGCCTTCCCTCCTCGCGGCCGCCCTCCCTTACCTTCTCGTGGGCGTCCTGCTTCACCACCCTGCTGGCGCCTTCCCCTTCCCTCGTGCTGCGCCTTCTTCTGCCGCTTTTGCACCACCTCCTTCTCCCCTCACCCCATCCGCCTCTTCACCCTCCTCCTCCTCTCTCCATTCCTTCCTCCCCTTCGTGCCTCTCCTCCCTTCCTCCACCTCCTTCCCCTCCGCCTCTGCCACCTGGTTGCGTGTTACTGGTTGCCACTTGGTGATCGTGACCCTACTTCCTCCTCACACTCCGGTCCTTCACCCTCCTCCTCCTCTTCTCTCTCCCTCTATTTCCCCCACCTTCTCACCTCTTCCTCCGCCTCTCTTCTCTCCCTATCTGCTGCAGCTGGTAGCTGTCAGTGTTTCGTTGCCAATCTTCTTCCACAACTTTCCTCCTCCTCTTGTTTCTCCCCTCAGCGGCCGCAACAGCCGTATACTCCGACATTATTCCTCCTCCTCTTGTTTCTCCCCTCAGCGATGCAGCAGCAGACTACTCCGACATTATCCCTCGCTTTTACCTCTCTTCCTCTACGCTTCCGCCCTCACCCTCTTTCCACCGTACCTCCTCTCCTGCCCTTGCCTTCTTCACCCTCCACCTCCTCCGCTGCACCTTCCTCCCCTTGCACCACCTCTCCTGCTTGCCACTGAACCCCCCCCCCCCCCCCCCCCCCCCCCCCCCCCCCCCCCCCCCCCCCCCCCCCCCCCCCTCTTCTCAAACCCTCTGCTTGGATCTCGCTGTCCCATCAGCGTCGCCGCCCTTCTACCCAGCACGCTCCTGCCGCTGTCACCTCTGGTATTGGTTCTCTGGCCATTGTTTTCAGTGTGACCATGCCAGCTCAGGATAGCATCCTTGGTGCTTCTCCTCTAATGGACCCTCGTTTTGTCGTTCCACTTTCTCCACCCCTTCAAAGCACGGCCTCTCACTCTCCCAACCCTACGGCTGCCGCTCTCTCACTTCCTCGCACCTTGGATTTTTTTCCTTAACAGTGCTGCTACTGATTCTGTCTTTCGTGATACCAGTATCCTTCGCAATTTTTCTCGTCTCCTCTCTGTTGATGGGGCTGGGAAGACCATGACCTTGGTCTGCACTGGCACTTCCTCTCTTCCCTGTCCTACCTCTCCCTCTGGCGCTGTTACTGGCCTTTATGTTCCCTCTTGCCATCATAACCTCCTCTCCCTCCCTGCCCTCCAACGCCTGGGTGTGCGAGCGCTCTTCCCCGCAGGTGCACTCTATTGTGATCTTCATTACCATGACCGGCACCTCGCTCGTTTCACTCTTTCTCCTACTACTTGCCTCTACACCCTTCGTGTTCCCATCCCCTCATCTGTCCATCACACTTCCTCTTCTTCTGCCCCTCACGTCTCCTCTTGCGACTGTCGCTCTCTCACCCAACCTACCCTTCTTCTCCATCATCGCCTTGGCTACCCCAACTTCCCTCTCCTTCGCAGCATGGTCAATTCGAAGCTGCTTCATGATCTCCCTTCCTCTCTCCTGCCCCTTCCCCCCTCTCCCACTCCTCCATGCACCCCTTGTGTTCAAGCCAAGCACTCCCAATCTCCTCATCCTTCTTCCCCTTCTACCTCCCCAAAACCCCTTGAGCTTGTGCATATGGACCTCTGGGGTCTCTCTCCCGTTGCCTCCCATCAGGGTCATCGTTACTTTCTCCTTCTTGTCGATGACCACTCTCGCTTTGCCACTGTCTATCCCCTCCGTGCCAAATCTGACGCCCCCTCCCTCATCATTCGCTGGGCTGAGCAGGCGCGCCTTCGCTTTGGCCGTCCTGTCGCACGCCTCCACTCAGATGGTGGTGGCGAGTTCTTTAACCTCTCTCTCTCTCTCTCTTCTTACTGCTCCTCTCATGGCATTCGCCAAACCTCCACTCTTCCGCATTCTCCCGAACATAATGGTGTTGCCGAGCGTCATATTCGCACTATCGTGGAGATCACCCGCTGTCTCCTTACTCATGCCTCTGCTCCACACTCTCTTTGGAGCTACGCTCTTGTTCATACCACTCTTCTTTCCAACGTTCGCCCTTCCATTACACCCTTCCAGCTCTGGACTAGCCGCCAGCCCTCCGCCCGCCCTCTTCGGTTGTGGGGCTGTATTGCTCATGTCCTCATCAATCCCGCCGATCGAGCACGTCAGGGTGGGAAGCTCGCTCCCAAGATGCAGCTCTGTGCGTTCATTGGCATCAACGATGACTATCCTGGCTATCTTCTCTATGCTCCCTCCTCTCAGCAGCTCATTCGCAGCCAGGATGTTATCTTTGATGAGACTCGTTCTCCCTCCCACCCCTCCTCCTCCCTCTCTTCATTGGTCTAACTTTGATCCGTTGCCCTCTGTTGCTCCCCCTCCTTCTCCCCTTCCTCCTGCCCCTTCTCCGCCTCCCCTCCCTGCACCCTCCACCCCTCCCTCTGCGGTCATCTCCAGCACCTCTCCTCCTGCCTCTTCCTCTTCTGCTCCCATGCCCTCCCCTTCCCAACATCCTTCTCCTACCCCTTCTTCTGCTCCTGCTCCCTTCTCCGCGTCTCACCCGCTCCATGACCCGTGCAATGTCCAATTTTCAACACTCTGCTCTCTTTACTCGCCTCTCTCCTTCTCACAACGTCGATATTCTCGAGGATCAATTTGAAGAGTTGTTCTCTGTTCATCCCGTTTCACCTCTCCTCTGCGTCACCGTTGGCGACTTTTCCAATTCTCCCACTCTTCTCTCCATTGACACTGCCACTATTCCCACCCCTCAGACTTATTCCGAGGCAGTGTCAGGCTTTCATGCAACTGAGTGGATGGCTGCTATCATTGCCGAGTGTGAGGCATTCACTAGAAATCAATCTTACGTTGACTCGGTCCCCCCCCCTGGCGCCACCGTTGTCAAGGGCAAGTGGGTCTTTTGTGTCAAACAGTTGCCTGGGGAGCTTCCTGTCTTCAAAGTCTGTTATTGCGCCAAAGGCTTCACCCAACATGAAGGCATTGACTACTTTGCCACTTACTCCCCCACTGCCCGTCTCCCCACTCTTCGCCTCCTTCTTGATGTAGGCGCCCGCTGGAACTGGGAGATTCACTCTATGGATGTCTCCAATGCATTTCTCTGGGGCGAGCTTCATGAACGCATTTTTCTTGAGCGCCCCACTGGCTTTCCTTGCCCGTTCCCTCCAGGCACTGTCTGGGAGCTGAAGCGCCCAGTGTATGGTCGCACTTTCCCCCACAGGCTTTACATTCTTGCCTACGTCGATGACTTGGTGCTCCTTGCTAAAGATTCTGCCGACCTTGCCGCTGTCAAGAAGGCCCTCCAGGCGCGTCTCCTGTGCAAGGATCTTGGCGAGATTCGTCATTACCATGGCATGGAGATTCGTCGTGATCGTGTTGCGCGCACCATTTCTCTCTCTCAATCCTTCTACATCCAGTCCATTCTTGAGCGCTTTGAAATGTCGCAGGCCAAGCCAGTCTCCACACCTCTTCCCGCTAACCATCAGCTTACTGCCCCTGCCATTCCCGCTCCCTCCTCTGAATTGCGCCCCTATCCTGAATATGTTGGGTCACTCACGTACGCTATGATGTGCACTCGCCCCAATCTTGCTTACCCCCTCAGTGTCCTCTCTCGTTTTGTTGACCTTGGTTGCCACACTGACGTGCACTGGGCGGCTGCCAAGTGCGTTCTTTCTCTATCTCCGCTCTACCTCTGATCTTACACTAACTCTTGGTGGCTCTTCTCCCCCCGTTCTTTCCGGTTATAGTGATTCCTCCGATGCTGATTCTTGCCCTGATCGCTGCTCCTCTCAGGGCTATGGTTTTACTCTTGGCAGTGGTCTCATCAGCTGGCGCTCCACTCGCTCATCCTTTGTCTGCCTTTCCACCTGCGGGGCTGAGTTGTACGCGGGCACATTGGCAGCTCAGGAGGCTCGCTGGCTCTCGTTTCTACTTGCTGAGCTTGGTCACTCTCAGCCCTCTGTGACGCTCTCCTGTGACAGTGCGAGCATGATTCACCTTGCTGAAAATCCTATCTATCATGCTCGCAGCAAACACATCGAGGTCCGCTACTTCTTTGTGCGCGAGCTGGTGTAGTCTGGCTTCCTCTGCCTTCGCAAGGTGGCCGCTACTGCCAAACTTGCTGACATTTTCACCAAGGCTCTCCTTCGTGCGCCACATCGTTTCTACGTGCGCGAGCTTGGGCTCACTCGTCTCGCCACTTCTGGGGGTGTTCCCCTTCGCTAAGTGTTCTGTTCCAGAGCTTCACCTAGCTTGGGGGTGTGTTGGAGTAGGCTAGAGATCGCTCTGGCATTTATCATTGTGTTCTTTTGTTATTCCACCATGTTTAGAGCGAGTTCCACTTTCGGTTCAGTTTAGGTTCATTTAGTTCAATTAAGGTTTCCTACATTTGTATCTCGACACTTTTTCCTAGTAACAATTCTCTCGCTACCTTCTCTCTCCCTAGCCATGGCTACCATGTTTTCAGCTTTAACATGAAGGACGTTGCGGCGTCAAACCCGGACCTGGACATGGTGGACAAGGTGTTGCGCAAAGTGGCGGCATAGCTCAGGAAGTCGTGCGTCTGGAGTCAACGATTCAAGTACCTGCAGCGAGTCATCTACAACACCAACCTTGAAGTTCAGAGGATCCACACTGTTCACTGGCTGTCACGAGGTGACGCACAGCGTCGGCTGTGCAAGGTCAGAGGCACGTGCATCGTTCTACTCTGGGAGAACAGCCACAAGGCCTACAAAATTGTGACAAGCTACAAGTTCCTGTTCTGCCTGTTTTTCCTCGCCAACATCCTCGCAGACATGAACGACCTCAACCGCTGTTTCCAGAATTGTGATGTAAGCATTTATTTGTCATGAATTGCCCTCTTTTTTTGCGAGGTTTGTTTTAATGTTGGTCACTGACTAACATGTGCTATATGGACGTTCTGTGATAGCTGGATATGACGGAGATTTCCAAGACCATCGAGGGCACAACGACGGATCTGATGCAGCGGTACTTGGAGAACGGTTTGCAGTTTGGTGGCGAGAGCAAGTGCTGGCTGGTCGGCTTTCTGCAGCTGCACAGGCATGGCGGAGGCAAGAAGGTGCGGGTGCGCGGCGTGGATGGAGAGGGACGACCAATCAACCACATGTACACCATACACGAAAGGCCGCTCCCGGGGCACAAGTACGGAAGCACCTACGCCGAGTGCGTGAAGCTGTGCCGCAGGTTCGCCCGCGATTGCGTCGACAACCTCAACGAACGACTGGATGACATGCAAATGATGGGGCCGACAAAGCTTTTCCGGGCGGGGAAGTGGCCGAAGATCAAGGCTCAACGGGAGCGGAAGTGCCGTGAGTGGCTTCACGGATGCAGCAAGTTTTTTTGCAACAAGCTACCGGGATTCGATCTCAAGGCCGCAGAGAGGGAGCTTCCGACATTTTGTGTAATAATGGAGACGCACCATGAGCTGGAGAGCTTCGCGTAGTGGCTAACCAATATTCTCGGGAGCGGGGACTAGAAGAGGTAAGGCACTGCATGGGGCAGCGCGGAAATGCTATGATAGTTTTTCTTAGTGTATCTTGACGTTCTAACGGAGCTGCGTGGATGTACCTGGCAGGAGATGGCCCAACCTCATCCTTCTGTGGCAGGCAATTATGGTGCTCCCCCTGTCAACCGTGGAGTGCGAGAGATGTTTCTCCAAACAAAACGTTATCAAGTCTTGGGAACGAGGCGCGCTCTGCAACGCGCTGCTGCGCTAGCTGGTGCAGATTTCGCTCCAGAAGTATGACATCGACTGGCCGGAAGCACTGAATGTCTGGAAGTCCATGAGGAGGAGGCGCCCTGCGAAGAGCCGCGAAGCTGGCTGTGGCAGAGTGTGACAGGAAGGGGAAAGCCAAGGAGGCTGAAGACGAGGCAGGCACTGCCAGGCAGAACGAGGAGGAGGAGGGGGAGGAGGAGGAGGAGGAGGAGGAGGAGGAGGAGGAGGAGGAGGAGGAGGAGGAGGAAGAGGAGGAGGAGGAGGAGGAGGAGGAGGAGGAGGAGGAGGAGGAGGAGGAGGAGGAGGAGGATGTGGAACAGGACCTGGGCGACGATCAGGAGATCGTCGCGGAGGAGGAGGAGGAGGAGGAGGAGGAGGACAACCCCTTCCTTTTGGACGATGAGGATGTGGAGGAGATGTTCCACATTGACAAGCCCGTGTACTAGATAGTGTGGATAAGCACATGCATGTTGTAGACGGTATACCGCTGTGAAAAGCATAGTGCAAAATTTAACGCAACACTGATTTCTTGTTGTAAACCCTGAAACATCAGAGTGAGATACCATATTGTTGGACAGCGAGCAATCAGACTAGCAAACCTGTGGAAAATATTCACTCAGAGTACTAGGGGATATTTTTCTTAGGATTCAGAGGGCCTAAATTGAAACGTCTGTCAAAATGTTATAATGCTTATATTGTGTAGGCTGTAGTAGGGTAGCCAATAAGGGGTACAACCCAATTAGGGTTAGTAGCTGTACCAACTTAATGTTCAATGCATTCATTCTCGTTGAGTATTCTGACATGGTTTCAGAGCAGGTCATGTTCCACGACCATTTTTTTTTAGGGCCCACCACATAGCGCTGCCCCACTAGTCGCGCTACCCTGCCCCGCCCTGCCCTGTCTGTCGCGCCGCCCTGCTGGCCGCGCGTCACCCTGCCTTGCCTGTCGCGCCGCCTTGCTAGTCGTGCGCCGCCCTCCCCTGCCTGTCGCATCGCCTTGCTGGCCGCCGCATCGCCCTGCTGGCCGCCGCGTCGCTTTGCTCTGCCCGCGTGCCGCCCTGCTGGCCGCCGCGCCGCCCTGCTCTACCTACGCGTCGCCCTGCCCTGCCCGCGCACCGCACTGCTGGCAGCCGCGCCGCCCTGCCTTGCCTGCGCATCGCCCTACTGCTGCCCGCACTGGTGCGCGCCACCCTGCTGCCCGCGCCGCCCTGCTGGCAGCCGCCCGCCCTGCCCTGCCCGCGCGCCGCCCTGCTGGCCGCCGCCGTGCCCTGCCATTGCACTGCCCTGCACTGGCCGCGCGCCGCTCTTCCCTAGCCGTGCGCCGCCTCGCCCTGCCCTACGCACTTCCCTAGTGCTCGCGCGCCACCCTGCCTGCGTGCTGCCTTGCTGGTCGCGCGCCACCCTGCTCTGCCCGCTATGGCTTCTCTCAGTGTTCTCACCTTCGATCATGAGGGCCGTCCGATCCAGTTCGATACGTGGCTCGACGACTTACAGCTGTACCTACTGAGCGATTCTAGAGACAGCGTTTCGTTGTTTGACCACACGTCTGGAGCCTCTCTCGCCCCTCCCGCCACAGCTGACAGTGCGACTCGCTCACAGTGGCTTGCCCGTGACGCTGCTGCTCACTTAGCCATTCGCAACCACCTGCCATTAGCCGAACGCACTCACTTTGGCCAGCACAAGACTGCTAAAGCCCTGTACGACGCTGTAGTCGCTCGTTACTCTTCCCATGCCACTGTTGCTCTCGGCCGCCTTATACTGCCCTACCTTTTTCCCGAGCTGTCAGCCTTTGCCACAGTCGAGGATCTCATTACCCACCTTCGCACTAGCGACACTCGCTACCACGCTGCCATCCCAGCCGAGTTCCTAGACAAGAACCCACCCCCGATGTACATCACTCTCTACTTCATAGTCACCCGCCTCCCTGACTCTCTTTGCGCAGTCAGGGACTACTTTTTCGCACTTGACCCCACAGACCTCACTGTTGACCTGCTCGAGAAGCACCTCCTTGCAGCTGAGACTAGCGTAGTCGCTGTAGGTGCTGCTCGTTGCACTCCTCACACACCCTTCTTTGAGGGGTGTTCCCCCTCCCCCGTTGCCCCCTCCTACGCTTCTGCTGCTGCTATTGACATCCTTGGTACTGAGGATGTCGGGGCTGCTTCTGCTCTTAGTGGGAAGTGTCGCAGCGGCAAGGGCAAGGGTGGCAAGAGTGGTGGCGGTGGTAGCGGGGGTGGTGGTGATGGAGGCGGTGGAGGCGGTGGAGGTGGCGGAGGTGGTGGCAGCGGTGGGAGTGGTGGCGAGAGTGGGGTCTTCGGTGGCGGCGGTGGTGGCAGCGGTGGGAGTGGGGATGGCGGTGGTGGCGGCAGTAGTGGTGGCGGTCGGGGTGGAGCTGTTCAGAGGGGAGGTTCTGGCAATGGCCAGAGGCAGCAGCAGCAGCGTTGGAGCGAGACCCCTACGCCCCAGTAGCTTCGTGAGTGGTTTGCTCAGCGTGGGGCGTCTGGGGGTAGTGTTCGCTGCCCGTATGTCATTCGCACAGGTGACCGCGTTGGTCAGGCATGCAGGAAGTTTAACACACAGTGTCACAGGATCGAATTTCCACTCAAGAATGTTGCACTAAAGGTGAGTACAAGGCGTATTTGTACTCAGAAATACATAGAAACAACAGATAATCCGAACCTTCGGGAACGCGCTCTTCTAGAATAGATAATCACAAGTGCGCATAAGCACGCAAGCCCATTGGCACTTCGGATTATGGCGAGATTACGCCTTGTACACCACTGTCGGTGCTGTCGGTGCCGTATAATGTAAATGTCGGTGCCGAAAATACCAAATAAGTGAAATAATCGGAAAGCTCTAGAAAATAGAATAGTAGTCCGATTTAGGTGAAATAAAGCGCAAATGAAAGAGGAAAATAAGGATAATAAGATGGAGTAAAAATATGGAAATGAGAAATATGTCGAACGTCGGCGTACTCTCACACTTCCCCCCCTCAAAGCTGGGTGGTAGATGTAACACCCTGCTTGACAAGATAGTCGCGGAGAGAACGTCGGGCGTTACTCATGTCTTCTTCAGAGACCCAGCTGTCCTCAGAAGGATCATAGCCTTTCCAGCGTACGAAAAACTCCAGGGCGCCATGCCGACGACGACGATGTGCAAGCACAGATTCAACCTCGTACTCAAGTTCATCATTCACGAGGACTGGAGGCGGCGGCGGAGGTTGGCGTCCCGTGTACAGCTTAGTTGGATCTTGATAGGGTTTAAGAAGCTGCACGTGAAAGGCGTTATGAATCTTCCAAGAAGCTGGTAGGCGCAAGCGGAATGTGACTGGAGTGACCTGCTCTTCTACGAGGAAAGGTCCGCAGAAGCGAGGTCGTAACTTGGATGGAAGGTGATCGAGGTTGAGGTTGCATGTGTCAAGAAGCACATGGTCACCAACCGCAATGGTATGACCACGTCGATGGCGATCGGCCAAGCGTTTCTGTGAAGACTGTTTGTCCTGTAGACGCTTGTGTGTCCGATCCCAAAGCTGCTGCATTGTGGTAACGAAGTCGTGCGCGGGTTGGACAGTTGCAGGTACTGTCGGCTGTTGTGGATTTAGTGGATGTCGTCCGTAACAGAGGAAAAATGGGGTCTCTCCTGTTGCGGCATGCTTCGCATTATTGTAGGCGAACTCCAACACCGGCAAGTGCAAGTCCTACTTGTTAATGTCGTCCTTGCACGCTGCGCGCAAGAGTTGTTCCAAAATTTGGTTCAAGCGCTCTGTCTGCCCATCGGTCTGGGGATGATATGCAGATGACATTGCTAGGCGTGTCCCCATGAGCGACATGAGCTCTTTCCAGAACTTGCTAGTAAACTTGGGGTCCCTGTCGGATATGAGGGTTGTTGGGATCCCGTGTTGTGAGATGATGTGTTTGAGGAATAGCTGTGTCGTTTCCTCCGTGCGTGCGGTTGTATGTGTCGGAATGAAGTGTCCCATCTTTGAGAATTTGTCGATGACGACCAGGATGGCGTCATGCCCCGCGTTGGTAGGTGGTAAACCGGTGATGAAATCCAAGCTGACCACTTGCCAAGGCTTTTCCGGGACGGGTAAAGGCTGAAGAAGTCCTGCTTTCTTCTGCTTACTGCTTTTCATCCGCTGGCACGTGTCGCACGAAGTGACAAACTTTTGCACGTCGTTTGCCATGTGAGGCCAGTAGTAGAATTTCGCAATCCCGGCAAGAGTCTTGTTACTCCCGAAGTGTCCAGCGTAGAGCACGTCATGGAATTCTTCGAGAAGCAACTGCCGAAGAGGCGGGTAGTTGGGTACCCATATCTTTGTTGATCCTTTGCGTAGTGCGACGTCGTGGTCCCACTGCAATAATTTCTGTTTCTCTGCTAAGGGAATCTCGGGGTCGATGGTATACCCGTACGTGAAGAGTCCCTTGAGTAGCGGATTCATCCCCTCAGTCTGTATGGCGGCAACGTGTCCAGGCCGGCTCAGTGCGTCTGCCTTATTCTTGTGTCCCGGCTTACACGATGTCGTAGTCGAAGTGCGTCTCGAGGAAGTCAATCCACCTGACTTGTCGTCTGGAGAGGGTCGGCTGCGTCTTTAGGTACTTCAGGCTGCAATGGTCAGTGTAGACCATGGTCTTTCTCCCTTCGAGGTAGCATCGCCATGTCTTGAATGCGGTGATGATCACTAAGGCCTCTTTGTCGTGAATCGGGTAGTTGAGTTCTGCCCCGTGCAATTTCTTGCTGAGGTAAGCGATTGGTTGTAGTCCTTTCCCTTGGTCTTGCATCAAGACTGCTCCAACTGCTTGGTCGCTAGCGTCAGCTTCGATGACGTAGTCTTTTTCTGGATCTGGCAGGATCAGGACGAGTGCGGACGTGAGTGCGGTCTTCAACTGCTCCATGGCTTGCTGGTGCACATCCTCCCACTTGAACGGTGTATTCTTCTTCAGTAGATTGGTGAGAGGTGTTGCAATCTTCGCATACTGTGGCACGAACCGATTATAGTAGTTCGCAAAGCCAAGGAATTGCTGAAGTTCCTTCACGTTCTCCGGTGTCTTCCACGTACGTACGGCTTCGATCTTCTTTGGGTCGACATGGACTCCTTGAGCGCTCACCATGTGTTCAAGGAACTGAACTTTCTTCAAGGCAAACTCACTCTTCGATAGCTTGACGTAGAACTTCTCCCGTCGAAGTATCTCGAAGACACGTCGTAGGTGTTCGATGTGCTGCTTCATGTCCCTCGAGTAGATCAGGATGTCGTCCAGGTACACCACCACGCATTCGTCGAGTAGAGGCCTAAGAATATGGTTCATTTCGGCCTGGAATGTAGCGGGTGCGTTGGTGAGTCCGAACGGCATGATGGGGTACTCGTAGGATCCGTATCGTGTTCGAAACGCTGTTTTATGGATGGAGTTATCCGCCATCAGGATCTGCCAATATCCCGATCTCAAATCGAG